AAAGCTTTTTTAAAATCTAATAAAATTGCTAAGTTTAAATTACCATCATTCATTTCTTGCAACCATTTGTCAATGATATTAATAAGTGCAGTTTGACAAGAATGCTGCGGCCTGAAACCAGATTGTGTAGGGTGTAAAAGGTTAAGTTTAGATAAGTATTTGTACATGTTATTAGAAACATGCCTTTCTATTAATTTTGATAAAGTTGGAAGAACAGATATAGGTCTGTAATTTGTTGCTAAAAGCTTGTCACCATCCTTGAAAACTGGTGTTACCTTAGCATTCTTCAGCATTCTTCATTATGGCTCTAATGTTTAAGGAATAAGGGGAAAAAAGGTTAAAAAACAAGGGTTTCCATTTTAATAGACAAATAATTGAGTAAAGAACATTATTTAAAAGCAGTGTAAGGTTGGTAATTCAAACTCATTTAAATATCTCATCTACACTGCTTTTAAATTATGTAAATTGGAAATTTGCCAATAACTTTATTGTTAATAAATGCATTGGAAATTTGCCAACAATTTTAGTGTAATAAACTTCATTGGAAATTTGCCAATATAAAATTTTGCTGATGAAGGTTTTTTGTTTACCTTTAGCCTTGACTATGAAGTCATTTTCTATTTTTATAGCCTTATGATGTAGTTGAATTATTTAATACTTTTATGATGTGTTTAAATGGGGTTTTATCATGTTTATGGTTGCAAATTTATTGTTTTAGTATAATAAACTCCATTTAAAATTTGCCAATAAAAAAAATTTTTGTTTATTTTTAGCTATGATTATGATGTCATTTTCTATTTTACTTTTATGGTTGCAAAGAAATTTTTATTTTTAGATATTACTGTTAAATGATTCTGATTAAGGTTTTTGCTATGTTTAGCCATGACTATGATGTCATTTTCTATTTTTATACGCCCGTTTACGGGACGTATTATGGTATACCGTTGTCCGTCTGTCCGTCCGTCCGTCTGTCCGTCCGTCCGTCCGTCTGTCCGTCGTCAACATGTCGGACATTAACTCAAAAATGCTTTAACCAATTTGCATAAAACTTTGGTGAATTGTTTATATCTATTGACATGAGCTCCCTTTCGTTTTTTATAAAATTTAGATTTTATGTTTCAGAGTTATGGGGTTTTATTCATTAAAAAAAGGGGGATTTTCCAGTTTTCGGACAATAAGTCAAGAATGGTTTCACCAACTTGCAAGAAAGTGTGGTTAATTGTTTATGTCTATTGACATAAGCTCCCTTTCGATTTTTATAAATTTTAGATTTTACGTTTCCGAGTTACAGGGTTTTATTCATAAAAAAAGGGGGATTTTCCAGTTTTTGGACAAAAACTCAAAAAATGCTTTCAGCAATTCTTATGAAACTTTTGTGAATTATTTGTATGTATTGATGTAAGCTCCCTTTAGAATTTAATTTTACATTTTACATTTCTGAGTTATGGGGTTTTATTCATTAAAAAAAGGGGGAATTTTCTAGTTTTCGGACAATAACTCAAAAATGCTGTCACCAATTCTCATGAAACTTTGGTGAATTGTTTATATCTATTTATGTAAGCTCCCTTTTTATTTTATGACATTGAGAATTAATTGAACTTTATTTGTTTATAGTCTGACAACAGATTTACCAAGTATTGCACAACAGCAAGAAATCTTTAATTGAATATAAATTCAATTCATATAACCAATTTCAAGTTCTTTGACTACATTTATTCAGAAACCTATAATATGTCAAATATTTAATTGACCTGAATCAAGCTTGAATATTGTGTCCATTTTTGCCCCAACTGTTCAGGGTTGGACCTCTGCGGGCGTATCTAGCTGCGCTCAGCGAAGCAGTTTATAATATCTGTTATGATGTATTTAAATGGGCTTTTATGGTTACAAAGGAATTTTATTTTTAGATATTACTATAAAATGTTGCTGATGCTGATTAAGGATTTTGTTTATTTTTAGCCATGACTATGATGTCATTTTCTATTTTAATACCTTTATGATGTAATTTCCATTTTTAGATATTACTGTTAAATGATGCTGATTAAGGGTTTTTTGCTATGTTTAGCCATGACTATGATGTCATTTTCTATTTTAATATCTTTATGATGTATCTAAATGGGCTTTTATGGTTACAAAGGAATTTTATTTTTAGATATTACTTTAAATGTTGCTGATTAAGGATTTTTGTTTATTTTTAGCCATGACTATGATGTCACTTTCTATTTTAATACCTTTATGATGTATTTAAATGGGCTCCCATGTATTTAGATTTTTGATTATTTATACATGTTACCAAATTGGTCCACATTGAACAAAAACGGTCCAAATTTCAACTTTATTACATTACATCAAACATTGAATTCTACATATTCTTTGATATATTGAAATTAACAAACAATTTAGTTTATGGATATTCCACCATAATAGGTAAATTAAATTTTTTCCAGTTCTTACACCACATTCATCCTGTGTCAGAAATCTATGCTGTGTCAAATATTTAATGACAATCCAAAGTCATAGCTGTATCAAGCTTGAATTTTGTGTCCATACTTGCCCCAACTGTTCAGGGTTCGACCTCTGCGGTCGTATCAAGCTGCGCCCCAGCGAAGCATTTTATTGTTTTTGTCATCCTACAATGCTGACAATGAACGTTCTAAGTACAAAAGATAGTAAAAATGCATTCAACACTTTGAACAGAAGAAAATAAAACAAGTAATGCAATTTCATTTGTATGAAATTTTTACCATTAAATAGACATGTCTCTGAATTTCTTGCAAAAGTTTTGAAATATTTGTTTAAATTATACTTTCATTGTTGACTTTTGAGGAAAAATCAGTGTTTAAAGACAAATATGAATATTTAAGTGTCCCAAACGAAGTTTGGGAAGACTTATTGTTTTTGCTCAGTTCTTATTATTATTATTCTTCTTCTGCTGCTTTTAAATTTGAACTTGTCCGCACCCGTTCTCCAAAACCGCTTGTCACATTAACTTAGGGTTTCACAATATGTTAGACTAACATGTCTAGTGGTGCAATCAGGGTTTTGTTTGTGCAATGGGGTTTATAAAGGGGTACTTTGAGGGGCAAAAAGAAAAGAGGGTTTTACTATAGAACCCTATGGGATTTTATTCTTTATTATTTTCAAATAATTATAAATTGAAAACCGTTTGTGATAGACACAATCTTTTTAATTGAAAATGTTCTAAATGATAAAGCCCATTAAATGAAATACAGGGTTAGTCCCCTGGGGTCACCCCCACCCCCTGCCATTTAAGGAAGTTCTAATACCTTGTAAGTGGTCAAGATCCCCACCCCTAAACCATATATATTTTGGTTTGTTATGCTAAGATGGTTCGAATGATATACAGGCTTAGTCCCCAGGGGTCATCCCAACCCCCTGCCATTTGAGAAAGTTCTAATATCTTGTAAATGGTCGAGATCCCCACCCCTAAACCATATATATTATGGTTTGTCATGATAAAGCACATCAAATGTAATACAGGGTTAGTCCCTAGGGGTCACCCCCACCCCCTGCCATTTAAGAAAGTTCTAATATCTTGTAAATGGTTGAGATCCCCACCCCTAAACCATATATATTCTGGTTTGTCATGCGAAGATGGTTTGAATGATATACAGGCTTAGTCCCCAGGGGTCACCTCGACCCCCTGCCATTTGAGAAAGTTCTAATATCTTGTAAATGGTCGAGATCCCCACCCCTAAACCATATATATTCTGGTTTGTCATGATAAAGCACATCAAATGTAATACAGGGTTAGTCCCTAGGGGTCACCCCACCCCCTGCCATTTAAGAAAGTTCTAATATCTTGTAAATGGTTGAGATCCCCACCCCTAAACCATATATATTCTGGTTTGTCATGCGAAGATGGTTTGAATGATATACAGGCTTAGTCCCCAGGGGTCACCTCGACCCCCTGCCATTTGAGAAAGTTCTAATATCTTGTAAATGGTCGAGATCCCCACCCCTAAACCATATATATTCTGGTTTGTCATGATAAAGCACATCAAATGTAATACAGGGTTAGTCCCTAGGGGTCACCCCCACCCCCTGCCATTTAAGAAAGTTCTAATATCTTGTAAATGGTTGAGATCCCCACCCCTAAACCATATATATATTCTGGTTTGTCATGCGAAGATGGTTTGAATGATATACAGGGTTAGTCCCTAGGGGACATCCCGACCCCCTGCCATTTGAGAAAGTTCTTATATCTTGTAAATGGTTGAGATCCCCACCCCTTAATCATATATATTCCTATTTGTCATGTCTCGAACATTTGAATGACGTATACGGTCAGTCCCCAGGGGTTCCCCCCACCCCCAATGTTCTAATATCTTGTAAATGGTTGAGATCCCCACCCCTAAACCATATATATTCCTGTTCGTCATGTAATGAACATTTGAATGATGTATAGGGCCAGTCCCCAGGGGTTCCTCCCCACCCCCAATGTTCTAGTATCTTGTAAATGGTCGAGATCCCCACCCCTAAACCATATATATTCTGGTTTGTCATGCCAAGATGATTTGAATGATATACAAGGTTAGTCCCCAGGCATCACTAATGCATATAACTTTACTGGACCAAACCAATTTTCACTGGACGTTGCCCAATGTCAGGCAACCCTGGGAATTACGAATTATGGGAGCTTCGTTTGGGAGACTTCGTAACAGCATCCTGTTACAATCATTTCTTGTTTTCAGTGTATATGGAGGTTTAAAGCAAGTGTAGGGAACAAATTTCAAAATTTGTAATTAAATAATGATTTCTCAGTAATGACATGTCATAAAAATGTTCCATTATTATTATTAAAAAACTGCAAATATTTATGAGTTTTAAAAAAAAATCATATAAATTGGAACTGAAATGACTGAAGTAGGTTTTAAACACTGTTTTAAAATAAAATTGTTTTTATATGAATTATATACATGTATTATAAATATATAGCGTAATTTCTGTCTGTAAATGAAACTTATTTATTGTTTCAGAACCTTAACTGTTGTACTTGAATTAGTGACTAAGCAGACAGCAGAATGGATGGTATAATGCCCCGAGATTCTCTGTTCCAGCTCCGTGATATGTTCGTGGCACCAGACCAAGGAGATGATTCAGACAGTGACATTGATGATTCAGTAAGTACTAAAAATATTGATTGATTGATTGGTGTTAATACCACTTTCATCACTATTGTGCTATTTTCAGCACTATTGTACTATTTGGTAGTCAGTTTTTATTGGTGGAGGTAGCCGGGTGCCCAGAGAGATCACTGACCTTCGGTATGAAAAGTGACATTCCTAGTCAATTAAGATTGGAGTCAAGCTCACCTGCTACGTGAGGGATTCAAACTCACAACCTCAATGTTTACAGGCTAGTGATACAGTAGTTTGACTACTAAGATAACTCAACCTTGTCAGAAGGCCCCTATATTATATATATATATGTATATATATACTGTAAATTCAGAAAATTTTGGGATGTTTTTATTATTCCGAAAAATTGGAATGGTTTACCTCATTTTACATTTTGATAGCTTGACAAGTTGACTTGTATGTATCATATTCTGAAATCACAAAAAATAATCTTACATTTTTGTCAATCCGAATCCGCACAATAAATGCTCACAAAAATTTCTGAATTAACAAATATTGTAAACCTCACATTTTAAAGTTTGAAAATTTAACTATCTTCAGTGGATAAATATTGTTATCAAAAGGGAGGCATTGGTTCAGCAGTTCTTTATTTCTTACAACATGCATAAAGATTGTATTATCATATGTTATGACTTGCATGCCTAATTAAAAATTTATTTAATTCATCTTTTTTAGCCAATAGGTGGAGTGAATAAATTAGGTCCAGGAGACCTTGGACCCCAGAAAAAAGAAGCAGCTCCAAAAGAAATAGGTACAAGTCATTACAAAGAGTGTTAATTTAATGTTGATTTAAGACCCATGATGGTCATGTGTGTGCTATATGTTTCCTGTCCTGAAAACCAATAGAAATTGGAATGTTTGGTGAAAAATTTGAATTAAGGCTAATTGTGCTGTCATAAAAAGAATGCTGATTATGTTCTTGTTTGTCTACTCAAATGAACATAAGATATTTAGAAAATAAAAACAAACACTATTTCTTTATTACAATGTATTTATGTCCATATTTATCTTCATGTTCTTAGCTGTTGCCTCAACATATTATTAAACAATACACAATCTACAAAAGATATAATTATACCCCACGCAACGAGTTGCGGAGGGTATATTGTTTTTGACCCGTCCGTCAGTCCTGTTTCTTGTCATCGCAACTCCTCTCAAACCACATAACAGAATTTCACGAAACCTTTTAAGATAATAAGGACATACTACGTAGATGTGCATATCAACAGGAAATTACGATTCAATTCTTTTTCTAGGAGTTACGCCCCTTTGAACTTATTTACTTTAATGTACTATTGCAACAGTTTGTCATCGCAACTCCTCTCAAACCACACAACAGAATTTCATGAAACCTTTTCAGATAATAAGGACATACTACGTAGATGTGCATATCGACAGGAAATTACGATTCAATTTTTTTTCCAGGAGTTACACCCCTTTGAACTTATTTACCCAACATACTACTGCAACCTTTTGTCATCGCAACTCCTCTCAAATCACACAACAGAATTTCATGATACTGTGTAGATAATAAGGACATACTATGTAGATGTGCATATTGACAGGAAATTATGATTCAATTTTTTTTTCTGATACAATTTTTTTTTCTTACACTTATTTTATTTCTCCAATGACAATGTGGGGACGTGGGGTATGTGAGCGCGCTCACTAAGGTTCTTTAATTTTGTTACAAAACAATTCAAGTATGTAAAATTGTGAAAACGTCCATTTTCAGAATTACAAGTATGAGTACATCAAATAAAACATTCAACTTTGATAAAGTATAAGGTGTGTGGGTCAGAATTAACCAGACTGAACTGAATTGTCCAAAGCATTGATAACAAATATATATTTAAACATAGATTTACCGTTACAATTCTACCCGCTTATTTTTCGCTCATGAAAAACTCAATTTCTGAGTAGACCTTAGTCACATGATAAATGTCAAAACAAATACACGTGTTCATTATAACACTTATAAATACGTTACATTGTGAATTGATTTTAAAGAAATGACGCTTGTTCCAGCTTGTCATTATTATAGTTGATTCATTATAAAAGAGGGGCGAAAGATACCAGAGGGACTTTCAAACTCATAAATCAAAAAATAAACTGACAATGCCATGGCTTAAAAAGAAAAAGACAAACAATAGTACACAAAACACAACATAGAAAACATCAGAGTAAGCAACACGAACCCAAACAAAAACGGGGGGTGATCTCAGGTAACAATAGTTATTTAATACTAATTTAAAATGTAAGGCCATATTATATATTTATAATTAGAGCCTTATAAAACCAACTCCAAACTTTTACTATGATAAATAACATCTGCTATATCATTTAATTTTGGGATGAATGATTTTAAACAATTTTGAACCTTTAGATATGCAAGCTAGCTATATTATGAAAAATACAAGTTTTTGTTAAGCTGCAACATACTTTTTTGTATATTTTCAGATTAAAAATCCAATTAAATGTTTTTATTTTCAATATACTAGTACAATTCTTAATAAATATGATTTGCATAATTAGGAATCCTATACTATGATTGGTTGCAAGCATTTCTAATTTTAATTTTTTTGTCAGTGTATCCTTTCATAGACTGTGTTCACAGGACAACTTTCGTAACGAAAAAGAATGACTGTTATATTTTTTTCTGTCTATGAAGAAATAACATCAAAAATGTGGTGCACCCTGAATAACCTGCATAGCAGGTTATTTAAAAGTGTGCATCACATTTTGAGGTAATTTCGAATAGACTGAAAAAATATTACAGTCATTCCTTATAATTTAATTCTAAATTCCATTTTTAAGGAGTAAATCATGAAAAAAATGTTGATGATGTCACGGTCACATGACAGAATTATGTCTATGAGCTGATAGACAAAATACTTTCAGCCAATCAGAAGACGTGTTACATCCAAAATTAAATTATTACAGCTTGAATTCACTGCTAATGTAATATACTAATGAAATTATATATTTCAGAGAAAACACAGAAGAAGAAAACAAAAGATATTTGGGATGATGATGAAGTAGTGGAGGGATCAGAATATGACACATTATATGACCCACGACCTCAGCCAGAGTAAGGAAATGGAAAATATACAATGGGAGATAACTGTTTCAAAGAGACATTATATAAATCTCCTTATCTTGTTTAAAAAAACTATTATAAAAATGTGGTAAAACATACAAAAGCTAAATTTTAATACAATTGGTTAGACTTAAAGGTCAGTATTGCCACACACATAAATCATATGTTTCTACACTGTCTAATTTAAAGTCGACCACATAACTTAGTTTTTCCATATGAGGCCATAGTAAATCTTTACACAGGATTTCCACACTACTTTGAAAACCTGAAAAATGCTTGGTATTTTATTTCAGTCTTTTTAAACCTAGAAATAACATTTAAAGTTGCCAAAATGGTGAAAATCCTTGAGTGATACTTGTAAATGGTCTATACATTTTTCATATATGTAGCTCCATAAGAGGGAGGGTGGCTGTTCCCCCTGACCCAGGCCCTAAATCTGCCTCTGAATATTGATGAAGGTTTTGGACAAACCATGAAATTCTTGTTGTAGTAAAGGTTAGAAAACCTGAAAAATTAAACAAAATATAAAATTTCAAAAAAGACCTGAAAATTGAAACTATTTTTAACACATTTTTTGTTTTTACTTGTACAATAAATCTTAAATCCACTACATGTACTATAAATTCAAAAATGTTAGCGTTGCTATATATTTTCATTGCAAAAATTGTAATGGGGTAAGTTTCACAAAATAAAAACTCGCATTTAAAATTTTGATAGCATTATTTGTATGCCCCATTTCCTGAAATCACAATGATTTATTTTGCATTTTGGTCTATTGTCCCAACATTGCAATAATAATTCTGAAATTACATTTTAGTAATTTAATTAAGGGAGATAATAATTGTATAGTTTAGTGTTAAACTAAGGGAGATAAGCATTAAAAATATAAGTAATTTAATTAAAATTAAAAACCAATTGTTCAGAGAACAATTGAAGGTCTTTCCACCAGTAAGGATCTATTTTGATATGAAAATATTAAAATTTTGTTTTAAATGTCAATTTCCGCGTCAAATGACAGCTTATTGTACGCTGATTCCAAAAATATATGGTTTCTATACAAAAAGATATAAATAAGGGAGATAATTTTTTACTTCCGGTTTAAAAGATGTTACTTCTAGTATTGTTTGATAGTTTACTTGACACTGATTCCAAAAATATATGGTTCTATATACTTTTACATTAATTTAGTACAAAAAATAACTACTTCCGGTTTACAAAAGGTCACTTCTGGTTGACTTTTTCAATGTCACATTGCTTGCAACCTAATGCAAAAAGTCCCTTGGCTTTATCATGTATACATATGAGGTAAAAGCAAAGGTCAAAATCTATAACGTTAAATTAACCTAAAGCTCAATTTCAAGGTCATAAACCAAGGATCTCAAATCAAAAGGCTCTAGATCTTTACTTTATATTGTTAATGAGTTATATTACCATACGACTAATATTAGATATAAAAGGGGGGAAAACTCGCATCAAATGTCTACGTACCCTTTCAACTAAAATTTACGTGTTACAACATGTCGCAACTAACAATTGTGTGAAAATATTTTGTCGATATCTTATATGATTTCTAAAAATAAGAGAAAACAAGCCAAAATCAAAATTTTGAACATGACCTTGACCTTTGACCTTGACCTCATTTTCATTTTTTGGGACCAAGGACCTCATATTATAAGATCCCAGGCCTCTATCACTTATGGTTTTCCAGTTAAAAATGCATTTCACTTATATCAAATACAAAAGGGGAAATAACTCTCATATGGAGTCTTCGTAAAGCTTCGGTCTAAATAAAACCTAACATCCTGAGGATATAACGAGCAATTTGGAAAAATAAATTTGTCACTTTCTTTTACGGTTGCAGAGGAGATCTCATAACAAGAAAAACAGTGTTTGGGGAGATAACTCTTACAAAGAAAAGTGTTCGGTTAAACAAGGTCAGTTTCAAAAGCGTATAGACTGTATGATATCATATACCAAAAAACTAATCGACATCTTTTGAAACAAAAATACACCGCAAGAAAAAAATTAGGCGGAAGAAAAAAAAAAAATAGAATGTCAATTTAAACTTTGACCTTGACCCCAATTTAAAGGTCATGAAACAAGGGCCTCAAATCAAAAGACCCTAGGTCTCACAGGCCTCTACAATAACTTTTTTTCCAACTTGTCCAGTAGGACAAGTACAACCCAAAACTTACTTGTCCGAATGAAATTGGAACTTGTCCAAAACAAATCTTAATAATAACCTTTTTTGCCTAATAAGTTGATCCAAGGAACAAAATGAATTAAAACAACAGAACAGAATTTGATTTATATCTTTTGAAATACTTTTCAAAAATATGAGTCGAGAACAACTGAATCTAGTCATGTCACAGGGCTTAGGTTCTAGTTTTCATCAATGACAAAGTCTCATCAGACTCTGCACATGAGGCACCGTCTGATAGGCCTGTCAATGTACACTCATTGGATTTGTATCCTGGTTGTTTAAGTTGAAAAAAGATTATTCAAATGCAATCAATAAAAAAAAGAAGATGATGTATGATTGCCAATGAGACAACTCTCTGCAAGAGACCAAATGACACAGAAATTAACAACTATAGGTCACCGTATTGCAAGTATTGTTTCTTTCTACATATGATCAAATATGATTTTGTGAATTTTATGGTAAATAATTTCTTCTTTTTTATTTAAAAAATATTTTTGTTAAAAAAATTACCGGTATGGTATTTATTATAAAGCAACAGAATAAGGTAGGAAAACGAGGTACTGATTTGTCTTGGTCCCAAATGCCTCCTGCGTTTCCAAACTGTCTATTAATCATGTCTATTAAATATGTCTCCTACGGTGCCAAACTGTCTATTAAACTTAGGAGCCGAATCGTTTCCGAGCTGGTGAAGAACTGTCTTGTAAAGTTACCTTTTCTACAAAGCGCATCCCTGATTCGGATCAGTAAAACTGGTTTCCGAAAATAGTATGCCTTTTACCTATTAAAAAGTACCTGACAAAGATCCAGTTTAAAATTATCGGTTTGCAAGTAGACATGTCAAATTAATACTTGTTTTTATCTTCTTTTCTTGTTTTTTGTTTATAATTACTTTGTTCATCAAAGTTGGATTAAATTTATTTTCTGCAGAATAATTTTACTTGTCCCGTCGGACAAGCTTGATCTAGCTTTTACTTGTCCGACCTTTTTTCCCTCTGGTACCGGACAATCGGACAAGCGTTATTGTCGAGGCCTGTCTCAATTATATAAGATGAATGAGTTATATCACCATACATGTAATTTTGAATATAAAAGGGGAGAAAACTCCCATTAAATGTCTCCGTACCCTTTCAACTGAAATTAACGTGTTACGACATGTCACAACTAACAATTCTGTAAAAAAATTTGTCGATATCTTATAAGATTTCTGAAAATTAGTGATAACAAGCCAAAATCTAAATTTTTAACATGACCTTGACCTTTGACCTTGACCTCATTTTCATTTTTATGGACCAAGGACCTCAAATCAAAAGACCTTAGGCCTCTATCACTTATGGTTTTCCAGTTACAAATACATTTCACATATATCAAATACAAAAGGGGAAATAACTCTCATATGGAGTCTTCGTAAAGCTTCGGTCTAAATAAAACCTAACATCCTGAGGATATAACAAGCAATTTGGAAAAATAAATTTGTCGCTTTCTTTTACGGTTGCGGAGGAGATCTCATAACAAGAAAAACAGTGTTTGGGGAGATAACTCTTACAAAGAAAAGTGTTCGGTTAAACAGGGTCAGTTTCAAAAGCGTATAGACTGTATGATATCATATACCAAAAAACTAAGCGACATCTTTTGAAACAAAAATACACCGCAAGATAAAAATTAGGCGGAAGAAAAAAAAATAATCAGAAGAAAACCAATAGGTCTTTCCACGGAAAGGTGGAAAGACCTAATTAAGAGAAATAATTGTTGTAAATATTAGTAATTTAACTAAGGGAGATAATTATTATTAAGTGCCAGTCTTTGTAAGAATCAGGCAATTTAGAAATATTTCAAAACATTGCAGAAAAAACCCACCGATCTAACCAACCTGAAGTTATCCTCATCATAAGTTAGAAATTATAGGTCTTTCGTTTCTGCGTGTCTGGTAATTCAAGAAATTTCTAGATAAATTTTGGTTAGAATGATAGCAAATTACGGAGTTATCTCCCCTTAATTGTTTATTTGTAGTGCATTTCAACCAAATTATATCTTGTTTTACCAGATCAGCGAAAGGAAACGAATGTTATATTCATGTACCATCATACATTCTGAACTTATAAAATTCATGTAAAGTTGAGTGGGTTTTTGTTTGTCATGTTTTCACCACTGCCTGATTCTTAGGCAGATTGGCACTTAAGGACATTCAACAGAACATACACAGTGATTCAGGTAAAATGATTATTGTTATATTTTTTCTTTATGAAAAATGTTATTTTACAGGTATGACATTATTTACAAACAAGCTGTGACCTCAGAAGACATGTTTCTACAGATGGGAAATAAAAATAATGCCACTGCTAGCTGTGAAGATATGGTGGTAAGTATAGGAAAAATAAGCTTGAAAATATTTAATTGCTCATTTAAAATGGTCTGGTATTTATACCGTCATATAATAGTGAGAGGAAATCTGGTTTAGGTTTGTCCATGTATCCATTTGTCCATCGGATAATACTTAGGTCACTCTTTTATCAGGAACTTAAAATAGTAGCTCCAATTTTCTCAGCTTCATTTGATCCTGCTATAATGTGTGATTCATTTACACATCCATCAGTTATTAACTATCAGTTACTGAATGCTTGAAGCAGGTACATTATGAGTGAGCCATAGCTTACAGTTCAACTGGTTAAAATGACAGATATAGCTTACAGTTTAATTTGTTATAATGACAGATATAGTTTGTACAGTTCAACTTGTTAAATGACAGATATAGCTTACAGTTCAACTTGTTAAAATGACAGAGAACAAAAAGCAGAAAGGACAGTTACAATTAAAACTTTTCTGATCATGCAACCTTTACAAAAGAGACTCCTTATTTTCTTGAAAATAATCATGATTCTTTAAAAAGTAATGATAAATATTATAAAATTAATGAGTTATCTCCCATAGACCAAGATTGAATTGACAATGATTGTAGAAGGAATTGGTGATTTAAAATTTTGTGTTCTTACAAAAACTATGCATTCTTTCTGGATTTGTTATATATTCATTTGATTCTACTTTCAGGTTAAAATAGAATTACCAGGTATCAAAGGCTCTGATATAGAATTAGACGTCAAATCTAAATTTTTAGATTGTAGAACACCCAAAAGGTAAATTTTGCTATTTTATTTTATTGAATGTCGCCTAATCTATTTTAATAGAAAAAAATAATATCAAATTGCACACTAGAGATTTTTAGCAATCAACAATCAATCAGTCAAATTGAACATTGTATCATAATTTGAATTCAGGTGTGAAAAAAATTATGGAAAAATTTAGCAATAGTTAAAACATGCATTTTAAATTTGTATAGCAATAATTTCTCTCACATTTTTGTCCATTATTCATGTTGTTTAATGATTGTAATAATAAATGCACTAAAAATTTATGAATCTATATATAGAAGATACATTTTAGCTTTAATCTTGTTGTTAGGTTTCTTTTTGATGAACCTATAACCCACATCTCATTATATACATAAGAAAACATGTTTGTGGGATTTCATATGTAAATTGTGAAAAGTCGTTTTATCACATTAAAAGGTCTTGTGGCTCTGTTCTAAACATGTCTTACAATTAAAATTGATTTTAAGTTATACTGGAGTGATCTTGACAATAGAATATTTTAACGCTTTTTTTGGGGGGGGGGGGGGGGGGGGGGAAAGAGTTGTTGCACCTTAGAATGTAACATTTTAATCTCAAACTATTATCAATGTTGTTTTTTTTCCACAGTAAACTAGGACTACATCTACCACATCCTGTTGACCACAAGGCAGGGAAAGCACAGTGGGATGCTGACAAACAAGTATTAACAGTCACATTACGGATGGTCAGAGACTATGATGATTTTAATTTCTGATCTTGTTTCATTTTTAAATGTTAAAACTTGTTATTTATAAATCAGGGTTTGATCTCAAACTTTGATATTTTTCAAACCATGTTTAACTTAATTATTTTAAATATACAAGACCATAAAAAATATTACATTGTGTGTTTTTTACTGGAAGTTTTGTTGTGTATTTTCTTTAAATGGGCAATCCTACATCTTGACTAAAATATATTGGGCTGGTTTAATTTTCATAAAACTTTGAGAAAATATTTACTTTGACCTGTTGACAAAAATAGAAAAAATTCAAGAAATTTGAACCACAAAATTTACAGGAATAATTTCATTGGTTAGATAGCAGTTTGACAAACACTAATTTTGATCAAACTGTCTCTGAGACATCATATCTTCATCCTGGGTATGCAAGAAATATTTGTGACTACATTAAAGAGGGGAGGGTATCAAACATATTGAGTCAATAATATTCCCATTGCTTAATTTTTTCTGATTTTATTTTAGGAGAAACAGACAACTCTGATGAATAAAATTTTTATTTTGAGTAGCAATAATTTCAGATTTAATTTTTTTGCAAACAGTGTTTGCCAATTATGCATCGTATACATAATATCAGATCATTGAACATTTACATTGTTTTTGTTAAAATGTTTTCTCATTTAATTTGAAATATTCATTTTGTAATTTAAATGTGCACATATTACAGAAAACATTCCATGAACAAAATCAATTACATTCCGTCCAACCTATGTGAAATGTATTTTATATATATTTATTTGAATTTTACATTTATTTATGTTTAAAAAATAAATTGATTAATTTTCATTGTATTGTTTGTATTTTCATGCCACTGTGTAGTCTCAACACCTGAACTGTCTGGTAAGTTTCCATGGTAGCAAGATTGCTTTTAGTGCAAGAGGTCACATGTTCGATCAGGTCACACAAAACACAGTAAAAATGGTATTTGCAGCTTCTTTGCTAAGCATGTTGAATTTAAAAGTAAAATTCATGATGTAAGAATAATTATATGTTTTGTTTTACATTTTGTAATGTCTGATCTTTTATATTCAGAGAGCCAACATTATGAGAGGATGTGGGTCACTAAGATTATGAATATTATCAAAAACTAAGGGAAAATAAAATAATATATATATCCTGTAATCAAATCTTTGAAAACCACGAGGCATTTGATGGTTGTTAATATATAAAAGGAGATTCCTAGTCTGGTCTTAAATAATCAAATTCGGGCTATACAAATGCTGTGACCTGTACATTCAGAGTTTTTGTCGAGCCTGCGACTTTTGTCGCAAAAGCGAGACATAGCGATCCTACATTCCGTCGGCGTCCACAAATATTCACTCTGTGGTTAAAGTTTTTGAAATTTTAATAACTTTCTTAAAACTAACCTGCATTTCAACCAAACTTGGACAGAAGCTTGTTTATGATCATAAGATAGTATCCAGAAGTAAATTTTGTAAAAAAAAAATCCTGTTTATCCGTATTTTACTCATAAATGGACTTAGTTTTTCTGCCAGTTAACATTACATTCACTCTGTGGTTAAAGTTTTTCAAATGTTGATAACTTTCTGAAACTATCCTAGATTTGTACCAAACTTAGACAGAAGCTTGTTTATAATCATAAGATAGTATCCAGAAGAAAATTTTGTAAAAAAAAAAATCCTGTTTATCCGTATTTTACTCATATATGGACTTAGTTTTTCTGCCAGTTAACATAACATTCACTCTGTGGTTAAAGTTTTTCAAATTTTAATAACTTTCTTAAACTATCCTGGATTTGTACCACACTTGGACAGAAACTTGTTTATGATCAAAAGCTAGTATCTAGAAGGAAATTTTGTAAAAATTTATTTCCTGTTTTTCCGTATATAACTGTATGTTACTTATTAATGGACTTAGTTTTATTCCAGTTAACATTACGTACAGTCTGCAGTTAAAGTTTTTAAAACATTTATTAGATTCATAAACCGTCTTGGATTTTTATCAAACTTGAACAGAACTTCTTACAATCAAAAGATAGTATCTAGAGGGAAATTTTTAATAATTTTTTCCCCATTTTTGTTGAGCCTGTGACTAACAGCAAAAGTAGGCGAGACATTGGGTTCCGCGGAACCCTTACGAAATTTATTACTTAGTTTACTACTTTGGTATTGTCTTGGAATAATATAATGACCCACATGTTTTGGTGAGGTTTTATCCTGCAATCAGCCAATTATTGTACAAGTAACAGGTATACAAAAATTTTGTTCATTTTATTTGTAGTTGTATAACTACAGTCCCCTTTTATCCGGCTCAGCCATAAGTCGAGCCAAATGTATTGTTAAAGGCAGTGGCTATTTTGTAGGCTCTGACAAAAAGGTGATTTATATACTATGAGTTTTGCTATTTTGCAATTCTAATTCAGATTTTCAGTATATTAATTAAGAGTATAAAGAAATATAGAAACATACACTTATAAAAATAGTAGTCTCTTAAAAAATGTCTCCGAACACAACTGTGTCAAGCAAAGCATGAGTTATTGTTAAGGCAGTGGCTATTTGCTGGTGCCGGCAAAATAGAAAATATGCTATTTTGCCGGCTCTGATTTAAATGTCTTAATAAAGCCAGCAAAATAGCATATTTCTATAGCAATGGCTTTTTTACTGGCACTTGCAATATATTTTATTTGTTATTTTGACGGTTCTTTGTAAAGAAGAGAGAATTTTGATATTTACTTTTGAAAAGAACTAAGAAAATGTGCATTGTCAATATAAAGAATCAAATTATTACTCATATAGTTAAATAAGTAACAATATTCGAGATACATATAATCGTTTAAAATGTTTATCAGTCAAAGTGAAATACAGAATTTGTAAAAATAAATAAAAATAAAAATATTGAGCATCCATTAATTTGTAGCAATGAAATCATATTAAAACAAGCAGTTGAACTTACTTCTAACATCAGTCACAATCTAATGCTACATGTGCATAAGAATAAAATCCTAGATTTTTAACTGTTTGTTGTAAAAAAATAAAAGTTAAAATTTCTTTGGCATATATATTTGATAAAACATTATATAATATAACAAAATAAATCACATAGCTTCAAAAAATTTTTTTTTAAATAAATTTGCTTTTGAAATAATAGTCAGTTCTTTGAATTGCATATATGTCAAAATGCAAATCGTTTTTTACTGGCAATATTGGCTTCCGCTTATCTACGGATATATAGAAACATACACTTTATAAAATAAGTAGTCTTATAGGCAAATAGCCACTGCCTATTGTTAAATTATTGTTTTTGGTGTTCTCTTCGCGGTTAGACACACCCGAAAGACGTGATTATTTATCCCAATATACCCCAACATTACAACAGTATAATTATTGAGAATCGCAAAGCGCCAAGGTTAAATCGTAGGATAAAAACGACTCATATATTTACATTGTCAGAAAATATCTAGTTTATTTGTACAAACGAACAAGAAGAATTATCTAAGCGAGCCCCGTTTTTCCGGCTTCTTGTACAAATAAATAATACGTTTTCTCACAATGTTATATATTTGATACATACATGTATATTCTATATTTACTGAACTTGAAATGTATAATCAAACATCATGTGCAGACATACCCGACTGTAATATTACAATTTTCATTAATGTCCGAAATTTGCTGACCAGTAGGTTAAATACACGTCTCATGCCTAAAGGTGTATGCACAATTTTTAAGAACATGTTTGTTACAAGTTTTTATTTATGTAATTCGTTATGCAAATTTCTGCAACCAGGAAAATCTATTTAATGATCAACGACTGCAAGAAAAAATTACTTTGGTTTTGAAGTCGTTGTCCATCAGTCCACAGTGGTAAGTTGAAAAAACATTTAGTTAGTAATTTTGTTTTTATATATATTAGAACGTTGAAAAGTCTATGCATGTTTGACGAATATATAAGGTATAAGGTTTAATCGTCACTATATAACAACATAAACAAATATCAAATCATATTGTTTAAAATTAATTACTTAACTAACTGTATACTAGGCATAAACAAGATACAATATGGTGTACATTATCGGAAAATTTTATATTTTTTTTTAGAGCTTTCGAAACAGGACAAAACGCGAGGTCCTCCTACTTCGTAACGAGTTCAATTTAGATTTAGATTAGAGTTAAATTTCATATTTCCGGCAATGAACATATACATACAATATTAGTTCAATCATGGTCAGAAAAATATCATCTTTTTGTATGAGGCTTAGAAACTGGGGAAGGGCGAGGTTTACAGAGACCTTCAACACTTTTGTGCCAAAAATTGTTTTAATGCTGCAGCTGAAAGTTGCTACAATTGTATTTATGAAATTGTAAATACAAAAACAGACCTAATTTTCCATCCTTAAACGAACCCCAGATTGTGAAGAAAAGTGTCATGACATGAAATCGACATTGCACAAAATATCTCTTCGCTACTATCTTTGATAAAGACAACAGGAAGTGTTTGAGCTGCAGTATAATTTGACTTTATCCTACAATTTACTAAAACGTATAAAGCTATTCTTGTATTCATTTTATTTTTGATGATCCCAATTGCCCAAAGTCATAATATATACTTACTGTCCCAGGTTAGGGGAGGGTTGAGCGCTCACAAACATGTTTAACCCGCCACATTCTGTATGTGCCTGTTCCAAGTAAGGAGCATGTAGTTCAGTGGTTGTCGTTGATTCATGTCTGTCATATTTGTTTTGCGTAAACTGTTTTGTTACAAATTAGGCCGTTATCTTTCTCAATTGAATTGTTTCATATTTTTCATGTCGGGGACTTTTATAGCCGACTATACGGTGAGGGTTTTTCTCATTGTTGAAGGCCGTACGGTTACCTATAATTGCATTGCTTAAATCCACTTCATTTGAACTTTGGTAGATAGTTGTCTCATTGGCAATCATACCAAATCTCCTTGTTTTTTGTATCCATTTTATCCATGCATAGGGAAATGTTCTGGATTTAAACGATGCTTAACAAAACAAAATCTAGATATTAACGTTGTTTATAACCAAAAATATCTTTAAAACGTGTTAGGATATATTGTCAAAAAAAATAATGGTACACAGGGAAGCAGGAAATAGAAGTATGTTTTGTTTGGCCTAATCTGAATTAAAGCACTTATCACTCAATCTGTTGATTTATTTCAGAAATCATGATGAAGATTGTTCTTTTCGGTCTTTTGGCTGTCGGAGCCATGGCTCAATTTCCTGGATTAATGGGAGGATTTGGAGGTCTTCCAAGTGGTGCCATGGACATGCTTAAAAACCTCAAACCAGACGACATAAAAAACGCCATCAAACACATGTCTCCAGAAATGAGAGACATGGCTAAAAGTATGGGAATCACCGAAGACCAGATAAAGAAAGCCGTCAACAACATGCCAGAAGATTTCGACATGTCTTCCATGGTTTCCGGTCTGTCCGATAAGATGAAAGACAACAAGGATTCAATGAAGAACATGATGATGAAAGAAATGGACGAAATGAAAGAACAGATGAAGGAGGAATCTGTAGCAGATTTCAAAAATCAGATGGACAACTTGGGATTTGATTTGAGTCAAGGTCCTTCTGGGTTCAGAGGTCAAATTTTGCCCAAAATTACAGAAATGATGGGAGAAAATCTTAGATACGAAGGTATTGATACAAATGATCATGAAGCTCTCCGTAAAAGCGTCCATGTTGAGATCCGAATGATGATTGGTGCTAAAAGCGACGCCCCTAACGACGAAGTCAGAAGAATGCTCAAAGAAAAAATCATGGAAGAAATGAAAGAAGAAGGAGTTGAATTCGATAAGGAAAAGGCACAGGGTGAATTCAAGAAAGCAATGATGGGACAGTTGAAAGATATGGGAATGGACGCCAAAGACGATATTGACCCAAGCTCATTGAAAGACATGTTGAGAACCGCCATGAAATCCGGTAAATTTGGAAATTCTCAAGGTATGATGCAGCAGTTCCTCCCAATGATGAACCTGGACATCAAAATTGATGCTTGAACAGTTTAATTGTTATTATCAATGATATTTCAAAATAGTAAATTGTATAATAGAATACAAGTACTTGTTACTGTCAGTGTCTTTTTGCATTAAATTAACGATTTAATGACCAGTGACAAAAAATAAAGTTATCAAAAGACATAACTCATTATCCGTATATGCCAACTTGATCACATTCCTGAAAATAAATCAATAGCAATCAATATTCTAAGTATATTGATTGATTGTTGGTTTCTTAGCGTCTAGCGACAAATATTTCATGCATATTCAGGACGAGAACAAATAAACAACAAATACAATAGGTAGGTCCTGTAATATAGGCCGTCCGCGATAAAGGTCGGGGAAATTTGGACTGCCACTTGAAAATAAGGGTAAATTGTATATCCCCAATATCAAACCATAGACAATTGAAAAATAACTTAAAATTGATGGATGGATGGATAAACGGGCGGGTGGTGAATGTTTAATATTTGGGGGATAAAGTCATCCGTTATTAAATCCTAAGAAACTGACTTCACGGCATGTGTGCCGAAATGATCATCAATAACACTTGGGTAAAAACCAAACTTGTTTCAAGGTTTTGAATATAATGTTCACCACTTTAGGAAACAAACTGGGTAACTCTTGAGAATTTGTAAACATGCAATGACATTTTGGACACACAATCTAAAGATAATATTGCCTTTAAGCATGTTTATTAATGTTCCCACTGTCGAGATAATGTTGTGTACCTAGAGTAATATGATATAACCTTGGCATTTTAACATGTAACTGAAATCCATGCTTTCAATCTGCGAATATAGCTTAAAAGTAGTACTTCCGGTTCTGTTTTTTTTTTTCTATAATATATAGGGTTTGATTATCTTCAATATACCAAAATATTTAAAAAAAATTTAGAATACGTGTAGTATGGTAGAAGATGTGTCAAATAGGATATAATCAATAGTTAAAAATATCTCATTAGAATTTAAAAAAAAACCTAAACATTCTATCATTCAGCTCTCTTTGGAAATATAAGATATACAAGTAAACTATATTAAGACGGAGAAATCCAAGTTTCACCAATATAATTACTCATAGCTAGGGGTATTGTAATTGTAAAATTCAATTGTTTAAAGGGCATACGATACAGTTTTGATTCCACGGTGAATTTTTGACGAAAACTTGCATACAAGCTAATTTTCACCTATAGTTAACTCAAATATGTAAAAAAAAATATACCTTCATATGCTACTTTTAGAGATAAATTGGGTCGAAATTTAAGATATTTACTGGAAATTTCGATTTCTTGGACATTTCTATCGTTTAGAAAGACATACCGAACTTTTTTGTTTCAGAATATAAATGCAAGCGGATTTTTGTAACAACATTCGGAATATCTTCTCTACATAAGTGTGCTTAGAATTTGTATAACAATGCTTTGGAAATAATTCGTTTTTATGACATTTTCATAACTTTAGTAAAAACACGGCATTTTTTTCCTGTATATTTATCTAATTTAAAAAAAAAACCCATCGGTGAATTGTACGGAAGCATATTAGCGCCACACAACTTTTTTTTTTATATTTCTTCCTACGTTTGCGTTATAACGCAAACCTTTGCAAAATAACGCAAACCTTTTGAGTTATAACGCAAACATTTGCGAAATAACGCAAACCTTTGCGTTATAACGCAAACCTTTGCGATATAACGCAAACCTTTGCGTTATAACGCAAACGTTTGCGTTATAACGCAAAACGTTTGCGTTATAACGCAAACCTTTTGCGTTATATAACGCAAACCTTTTGCGTTATAACGCAAACCTTTGCGAAATAACGCAAACCTTTGCGAAATAACGCAAACCTTTGCGAAATAACGCAAACCTTTGCGTTATACCGCAAACCTTTGCGAAATAACGCAAACTTTTGCGATATAACGCAAACATTTGCGAAATAACGCAAACCTTTGCGTTACAACGCAAACCTTTGCGATATAACGCAAACATTTGTTTTATCTTATTTCTTATCTAAGATTCAAAAGAAGCAGCAGTTATTAATGGAGGAGGCTGCATATATTAAAATTTATCTTCTTTGTACTCATTGCAAAGTAAAATGCTTTACTATTTAACTAATAATGAGCAGGATAATAGATATAAGAAGATGTGGTATGAGTGCCGATGAGAAAACTCTCCATCTAAGTCATAATTGGTAAAAGTAAACCATTGTAGGTCAAAGTACGGTCTTCAACACGAAGCATTGGCTCACACCGGACATCAAGCTATAAAGTACGTGCCCCTAAAATGATATATATGATAATACATGTACATATATTACAATGAAAATTGAGTAAATTAAAGTTATACCGAAGAAAAAAAAAACCTGCTTATATAGCTATAGCCGAATATAGATATTCTTCCAAAGTAAGCTCTCGTTTGAGGATTGTGTAAGTTGGTTAACTACCCTTTTGCAATAAATGAATAAAATAAAGATATTTTATTAATAAAATTATGTTCTCTCCATTTAAATTGCTACCAAGTTACCACACTAGATTGAAAATTTCATGACTTTTTATCAAAGAATCTTTATCATATTCTGAGATATTAAAAAACGATTTCTTACATCAAAACTTAAAAAAAAAATTCTTTCTTAATAATTCATTTTACAACAGAAAGATCATTTTGTCTATTTGACTTGACAGTTTTACAATTGTATGACATTATTTTTGCTCTTATCTACTTAATCAAAATTTTAAAAATGTTGGCCTTTCAAATAAAATATGCCTATAATATATCTATTTTCTTGTTAAATTATATACTTCTCTGATTCCTATGCATATTTATTATAATGACTTTGCCTTGTATTTATGGTTCTTTTCCTAACTAAATCACAACAGAAATTTAATGACAAACGAACATATATATAAAACATAATGAATAATTGAAATCAAGATGTTTGCGTTATATCGCAAATGTTTGCGTTATAATTCAAATATTTGCGTTATTTCGCAAAGGTTTGCGTTATATCGCAAAGGTTTGCGTTATAACGCAAAGGTTTGCGTTATTTCGCAAAGGTTTGCGTTATATCGCAAAGATTGGAAGAAAATTATAAAAAAAAAATTGTGTGGCGCTAATACGTACAGAAGCGTATTAGCGCCACACGTTTTTTTTTTATATTTCTTCCTATGTTTGCGTTAAAACGCAAACCTTTGCGTTATAACGCAAACCTTTGCGAAATAACGCAAACCTTTTGCGTTATAACGCAAACCTTTGCGAAATAACGCAAACCTTTGCGTTATAACTAAATCACAACAGAAATTTAATGACAAACGAACATATATATAAAACATAATGAATAATTGAAATCAAGATGTTTGCGTTATATCGCAAATGTTTGCGTTATAATTCAAATATTTGCGTTATTTCGCAAAGGTTTGCGTTATTTCGCAAAGGTTTGCGTAATAACGCAAACATAGGAAGAAATATAAAAAAAAAAAACGTGTGGCGCTAATACGCTTCCGTAAATACGCTTCCGTAGAATTGTTCATAAAAATTGGCACAAATAATCTTCATACATAATCAAGTCAAATGTCATTTTTAAAAAGAGGGGTCCATGAACTCGTTTTCAAGTTAAATTAGAATGAATGATAAAAAAAATCGGTCGAAAAATGCATCTTATGCATCTTTTCCCGATATGTCACAGTTTGACGTCGTAAAAAATAATATTTTACGTTAGCGACTTCATTATCTCCACTGTAACTCCCTTAATAATCTAAAGACAGTAAAAAATGCTGGCTTTGAGGTGTTTTACATTTTTTATTATTATTCATCATCAAGGCTATGGGGAGGGATATAATATAAAAAAAACATAATACCGGTTTTAGTCATTTTATGTTTTGCTGGATTGCTGTCGCAGGTCTAAGTGGTTTGTATTCCTTCTCGATCTATATATATGCGTATTTAGTCAACTTTAGCTGAGAGTGCCTGAAGCGATAGTATTTTTTCTTAAATTTCTGTCAGTTTTAAATGCCGACAAAAATGATTCCATTTTTTTTTTATAATAATTAAGAGACTATAACTTTAAAGTTTGGTATTGCTTGAAATCTAAATTTTTATTGAATAGTTTTAGTAAATAGGACTGACTTGATTGAGATCGATATTTTATTTCGGTTTCCATTTTGCCCTGATTGGCCCTATATTTTTCGTTTATATGGACTAGACTTCTAATATTTTGCAGCAGATTTTATACAGTATATGCAACCAAACCAGTTTCCTGCACACAAAAAAAAATCTACCCAACAAACTTTAAACCATGGCTAGCTTATCATATTACTTTACAATGTTTACAAAAACAAATTGAGGAGTACAACATCAATATCTAAACAACAATTACACATTCACTCATTCATAAATTTGGAAATTATCATTTATTAAATATTATTAATCTGATGTCTCATAACAATGCGTGACTATATATTTGTCAAAAGTCACGGACAGTCAGTAAAATAGACCAACCTTATCTATTCAATGTCGTCTTAACTACCGAATTTTAGTTAGTGCTCTCACATTTATGAACGTCACCATGAGGTCTTTGTATGTGTGTGCCGTGTTTTTGTCTTCTTTATCGTGCTCATTTGGAGCAACTATTTTAGAATATTTACAGAGCAAACCAGCCAATTTTACATATGCCGTCCAAGCTATTAAAATTGCAAATTTGACGAATGAACTTCAATCAGGAGGTATGGTTATAATTTATATAATTTTATGTTTTTCTTAATATTCTTTAACTTGGTACACGTTTATCTTGATAATTAGTATGCGCTGCCTGCCTTATTAAACGAGCATTATGTTTTCTGGTCTGTGCGTCCGTCCGTCCGTTAGTCAGACGGTATTAGGTTTGAGTTTTTTTGTTTATGGTAGTTTATCATGAAGTTGTGGTCACACTTGGTACACATGTACACATGTTCATGTACACATGTTCAATTTAATGTGATTTTTTTTAATCATATATAAAAGTAAGATGCGGTATGATTGCCAATGAGACAACTCTCCACGAGAGACCAAATTACATAGAAGTTAACAACAAAAGGCCCCCGTACGGCCTTCAACAATGAGTTAAATTCATATATGCCAACTTTTGGTCTTGACCCCGCTCCCGTGGTTCACTAAACATAGAAATGTAATGATCTGAAATTCTCAGGTAAAATTTTTGGTTAAGGTAGTTTGAAACCTAGTACACGTGTTCATTGCTATGTAAACTATGTATGCCTTATAGTTGTGACCCCGACTTCACGGTTCACTGAACATGGACGTATGATAGTTCGAACAGGGCATGATGTCCAATTGACATACATTCTTGTTACAGGCTTGTAATAGCACTCGCAAACATGTTCAACACCTCTACAATCGTTTTGTGTCTGTCCCAAGTGAAAAGCGTGTAATTCAGTGGTTGTTGTAGGTTGCTTTCGGTCATGACTTTCCTCGTTTATTGATTTTAGCTTTACACATGTCGATGTGTTCTCTTGTTACTTTATTGTCATCCCGGCAGGTAGCTTTTACAGCTTACTTTACAGTACGGTTTTGCTCATTGCTGAAGGCCATACGATGACCTGCTATTGTTTACATTCTTGTCCTTTGGTCCTTGGTTAGTTGTCTCACTGGCAACAATACCGTATCGTCTTATTTGTATATTAAAGGTTGACTCCTATTTTATAAATGGACATCAAAGTGGCTGTTGTGCATCAAGAGATAACGCTGGTTTAGATGGCATTTAGTTTTATTACCTTGTGAATCAAGTCATCTTAGAGATAAATCTGTTTTAGAGGATATTTTGTATATAACCAATTAGTACTGCTCATTTCCATTGTATTTATACATTTTAAACCACACCACCATCTTTTATATCTCTTTTAGTCTTTTGTCGGTTTTCTTCTGGCATGACCATTCTTTGTCCTGTATAAGAGTCTGGATAGGGGTAATCATTTCTTTGTTATGGTTACCGTAGTTTTTCTCATTTCTTTATTTGATTTTGCACAATATTCTCTATTCTTAATATTTAGCACCTCCTTATTTTCTATTCTTTTTTTTTATTTGCCTATTTTCTCTTTTTCTATATTTTTTAGCCAAATTTACTTTAGTTTTGGTTCATTATTCTCAATTCGGTAAACCCCATTCGGACCATCTTGGATATAGGGGTAGAAGATGTTTAAAGAGCAATAAAAACCATAGATAAGTTGGTGAAAATAGACAACATTGTCAAAAGAAAAAAGACTACAAGACAAACAGTTAAAAAAGCACTACACAAAAACTACTGATTGAGCAAAAAGTAAAATAACAAAAATTAATACCGAACTCCAAGGAAAATTCAAACCGGAAAGTCCCTTATCAAATGGCAAAAACAAAAGCCCAAACCCATCAAACGTATGGAAAACAACTGTCATATTCCTGACTTGGTACGGGCATTTCCTTATGTATAAAATGGTGGATTAAACCTGGTTTTATAGCTAGCTAAACCTCCTACTTGATTGACAGTCGTATATAATTCCATTATATTGACAACAATGTGTGATCAAAACAAGCAAACCCAACCAAACACATGGTATGCAATCAGGTTCTCCTGTTGAAGGGTAAACAGTTTCTGCTCCGTTAGTGGTACACTTCGTGTTGCTCATGGCAGGTAAAATTACGTTATTATGTTGCATTCGGTGATGTAACTATCCAGGAGAAGAGGACAGGATTGTAGTTTTGACAAATGAACCATATCCGTGTATGATAATACTAAAATTAACAAAAAAAAAAGCCTTTTCTCTTTGTTCTTCGTCTCCAACCAGGATCGTCCTGAACATGCATGAAATATTTGACACTGGAACTACCAATCCATCAATCTCCAGATAGGAAAATCAATTCATGTTTTTGAGACAGAGTTAACTAGTTAGCTTCGCGATTGTACATGTGTATTTTGTTGAAAGGTTATCCTACTAAGAACTTTGTTCTATTCTACCAATTTTCCATACAGTTTTGCAATTTTGTATAAAACTTTCTATAAAGTTACTTAAGTAATTTGTCGGCGTAAAAGGCAGCTCCTTTGCAGAAATGGCTTGCGTCTCCCCTTTTTCAGTTAGTGGCATAAAAAAACCCGATAGACCCGTATTAATGACAATGCTGTTATAAATAAGCAAAATTATGATAAAGTGTATTTATGTCTGTTATTAAATCTAATTTGTCATGTCATGACACTGTTCAATGGTTTTCCAATTTGATTCCATTTTGCTCACAAGTAATTAAAACTATTTTGATATTTTGATAGATAAAATTATCAATATCATTAATTTATAAAGTTTAATCTATAATGATGTATATATTCAATGTACAGGACCATTTACGGCATTTATACCAACTGATGCTGCCTTCCAGAAAATTCCAGCACCAATTTTACAACAACTTTTAAATGATCAAACTGCAATCAGAAGTTTGTTGCTTAAACATGTGACAAATGGAGCACTCATTTCACCATTCATCAAAAGCGGAGACAAAGAAGTATCCCTTGGCGGTACTAACTTAACTTTGACCAAAAATGGCGCTGGTGTAAGTAGCTATATGAAAGTAAAATAAATTGAAATTGAAATTATCTAGATATCATTAAGTTTTTTTTCTATGCACCCTGAGTTCAAATTCATTCCGTTTTGCTTTTCTCGTGTCAATTATTAAATTTTTTTTTATATCTAATGTGTATATAAATTAATAGAAAACATTGATTATCCCATAGTCACTGTGATACATGAATTTAGTGTTGAAATAAACTACATTATCCATTCTGCATGTTCATTTACCAAAATTCTCGTCAGACGTTTTCTCAAATTATCACATCTTTAGGTTTGTCCTAACTGTTTAAAAAAAATACAATTTTTCTGCAGCTAAATCGATTTAAAGCTTGATATATGCATCTATTGATTGATGCAGACCGCGTATATTTGTTTCAAGTCGATATCTGTCTAATCAAATGAACGCAAAAACATTTAATGTGAACAGTACATTTCTTAAAATGTAAATAAAGGTGAGATGTACACATTGACAACAATATTGGCACAGTTCCCTGCACCAAACGTTATTTTATTTGCATACATTTAACGTTGAAGTGAGTTTCATAGCATGCCATGTTCATGCTAATCAACGATTGCTTCCAATCGATTTGTATTTACGATCTTGTTCATGACTTACGATCAATCTTAGTCGTAAGTTTTTTTTTTCTGAAACCGACTCCTGTGCTAAAGATAATCGTAATAAGATCGTTCTTAATGACGATGGTTAACAATGCAATTTGAACAAGTTAATCGATCACGATCGGTTCAGATCACCTTAATTATATTTTGCATTTAATTGTTCATAGCTTATTACTATATTGCCATATTGCCGTCGGTCTTAATGAGAACCATAGAATCGATCGCGATCGATTTACAACGATTCACAATCAAATTAAATCGATATTGATTGTATGGTATAATGGTTTATATTTTAGGCTGTATCCGTGAATGGGGTAAAAGTTATCCTTCCTGACGTCATCGTATCCAATGGTGTTGTACAAGGAATTGATTTCGTCTTCAATGTGCCCGCTGCTAGCGTCAATATGGTTGAGTATCTTTTAAAAAATCAAGACCAATTCAAAGACCTCACTGCAGCATTAACACTTGGTGGTTTACTGTCAACACTAGAGGGTTAGTTTGTGTTAATACACAAGAGCATTCAATATGTGCGCCATGTCAAACTAATGGTTTTTTTTTCTTTGCTTGCGAGCTGTTTTTTTGTTTGTTTGTAATAAGCCTAAATTCAAGATGATTGCCTTCAGATGTATCAAGCCGCATTTTGATTGTCTAAATAAAGCACCACGAAATAATGCTAGTAAGCATCTTTAGTGACGAAAATCACTTAGGGTAGGCGCCAATAAGACAGCAACCAAAACACACTGGGTAAGGAAAGGATTAGACCTAAATTGGTCCTTAAATTTCCAACGGGTGGAATAAATGATTAATTGTATTTTCCCAAGAAAACGAAGCTTTTTAAAAAATAAAATAGTTTTGCTTTGTAACTGAGCAGGTTTTAAAGGTGATAAATGGCGATGTATTCACTAAAATTGCCAAGTTACACAAAACAATTTAACCATTTCACTCAAATATGACGGGAAATAAGGTAAATGTGTACATCACAATCCAACACAACCCACATTTCTTAAAAAAAGAAAAGAAGATATACATGCAGGAAGTGTCAAGTTGCTTTATTATCTACTCGCTTGCAAATATTCTTGTAATATTGTACTATTAGCCGCTAGACGAAAATCATTCATCAAGCAATCAATCAAAATTCTTGCAACAAGAATCACGAAAGATATTCACATACAATGACTTAAAATTTTAAGAAATTTCATGTTCGTGTAGCACAACGCCTCTCACACATGTGTTCCAATTTCTTTTCTAACGAAATTCATACAAAAGTAACAAGAAAAACAATGAATTTTTTATCAGATGTTAAGTGAAAATTCATGTTTAAAAATATATTTAAGGTAGTTACTGATTACTCATATAAAAAAAATCTAATCGAAAAGCCAAGTGTTTCCTTTCAATAGGATAAGAGCCCTAGTATATCTTTAAAATCGATGTTCGAAACAGTGGCAATGTCGCTTCACTAGCGTCGCATCGCAGAGATGACGTTACTTCTTTTTGTTTGTTTGGTTCCAAACAATCGGTTAACACTAGCGGTCTTTCTTATTTGTATATATTGTACTCGGAGAATTAAGAGCTAGACTTTTGGTATGGATGTTTGTCTATCATTGACCTTGGATGCCTGTCTATCATTGACCTTGGGTGTCTATTTTGGTCTAATGTGTTATTGATTTGTGTCACATTGACAGTTTCTCCACATCTTTTCTGATTCATATGCATTTTCTGTTGTAGGTCCAGGACCTTTCACGTTGTTTGCACCAACGGACGCAGCGTTCACAACTTTGTCAACCTCACTACAAAGTCTAGCCTCAGACATGAATCTTTTTAAAAGTAAGATATTACAGACATCTTCAAATCTCTAAATGAGAAAGTCATTGTTATGGTAGATATTTTTATAAAAGTTATATTTGCAGCTTGTTTAAATAAGTACTGTATGGACTCATGCATGTCATGTGTGAATCTTTAGTCTAAAAAAGAGATAATTCATGGAATTATTTGGCGGCATGCTCTATAAATTCATTTTTCATGTCAAAAGTAATTTCTTCATTTTTTTGAAATTTCGACGTCTGCAGTGCATGTACATTGTACAGTTTACAGATCTACCGAAAACGTATCGTGAACACTTAAAATAATTAAGAAGCTTACTGTAACAAAATAACGTACAAAAGTTAATACTGCCGCTTACTGTAACAAAATAACGTACAAAAGGCAATACTGCCGCTTACCGTAACAAAACAACGTACAAAAGATAGTTCTACCGCTTACAGTAACAAAATAACGTACAAAAGGCAATACTGCCGCGTACTGTAACACAATAACTTACAGAAGGCAGTTCTGCCGCTTACTGAAACAAAATAACGTACAAAAGGCAATACTGTCGCTTACTGTAACAAAATAATGTACAAAAGGCAATACTGCCGCTTACTGTAACAAAATAAAATACAAAAGACCAAAAACAAACACGCATGCAGTGCACAACAACAATATAGTTCTGCCAGAAGAAAACTGTTTTTTCCTCAACAATGTTATTTCTCATATCAATTATCATAATGCAAAATGCATATATCATATTTAATCTATTTATATAGATATCTTAAAATATCATGTCGTCAGTGGGTCTACATACGCTGCAGATCTTAAGGATGGACAAAAAGTAACAACTCTGGCCGGAAGTGCTTTTACAGTTATGAAAGCGGGCACATGTGAGTATTAGGCATACGAACTAGTGAAGGAAATACACGGATGATTTTGATTACATGAGGGTCAGATGGGAATTTTCGTTTGTGTATTTTTTAATTTTGTAGGCCATTATTCCCTAATCTTTATATTTTAGCATCCCATTATTCTCTATTTTTTATTTTCTTTTGTATATTTTTCTCTATTCTTTAAATCCCACCCAGAACCTCATACATGTATATATATATGTATATTTCGAGAAATGCATATGATTAACCTATGATTAACAAAATACGAAAATTAAAGACTACACTTTTTTTTTACCGACACAATCATGGTAACAAAACACGTATATATAATTTGTAAAACGTTCGAATTCGCCCGAAATAACTTTTGTTTTTATCTTTAAATAGTTTAATTTTTTGTTTAAAAATCAATTGATATATTTTCGTGATACTCCAAAAAAAACCGAACCTGTTATGGAAGAATGCTTTTATATTTTTCAGCCGTCACTATTGACCACGCCCACGTTACACAGCCAGACATTCCCGTTCTCAATGGTGTTATACATGTTATTGACGGCGTACTTGTTCCAAGCACATTTTGATATTAAAATATGTTATATAATATTTCTAACTTTTTCTTTGTTTGATTATGTTTAAGAGCCAATTTTGTTTAATTATTATACAAGTTTATATATTATGTCAGTTTTACAAACAAAAACAAAAACATTGCAAAGTATGGAACACCGAATCCGCCGGAGCAAACCGCCGATATACTTGAATGTATACCATATGAACAGATAGAGAATCAGGAACCTGATGTTCAGTGGTTGTCGTTTGTTGATGTAGTTCATGAGTGTTTCTCGTTTCTCGTATTCTATACAGATTAGACCGTTGGTTTTCCTGTTTGAATGGTTTTACACTAGTCATTTTGGGGCCCTTTATAGCTTGCTGTTCGGTGTGAGCCAGGCTCCGTGTTGAAGGCCGTACTTTGACCTATAACGGTTTACTTTTACAAATAGTGACTTGGATGGAGAATTGTCTCATTGGCACTCATACCACAACTTCTTATATCTAATTATCATATTTTTTAATGATAAGAGACGTGATCGAGGACCCTCATATGTCATATGTTAAAACCGACTTCACTTTTTCCTGTTCATGTAAAATGTATCTATCTAGCACTCAAGCACTCTTCCACTGAAGTCCCATATACTGATAAATGCATTTCATTTGAGAGATAGTCTCTCCTGATAATTTTACAACAATAAAAACTTTTTCAAACAACTAATATTAAACAGTTAAACAATGAGATGCATTAAATACCTGTAAAACGTCTTTAACATAATCTTTGTATCTTGATTAAGTTTCATTTCCTTGCTGATATATATATATATAAATATACATTTCTGTAATGGCCCATGTTAGACCTAAAAATTTGCGTACAATTGTACAACTGCTCAGACAACCAAAACGTCAAACGTAGAAGCGAATAAGAAAGTTCTGCAGTTGAATACCAGAAGTGGTCATGAATATGCTGGAATAGGTCATGAATATGCTGGAATAGAACATATATTCGTGCAATTTTCATGATAACATCTAATGACTAATTTGTTATTTTCAAGTGCAGTTATGTCGTCGAAACTCACATATATGCCAGTACACATGGTTGTGGGTCTAGATTTGGGATATGCTCATTTCTGTATTCTTTAATTTTCAAGACCACCTTTTTCTCTTCCTTATGTTTGTTTTGTGTTTTCATTTTTCATTTTAGCACCCTAATATTCTCTATTTTTATTTTTTGTATCCTGTTTTCTCTATTTTTTTTTATTATTTTCCATTATTATCATTTTTTTACCCATTATTTTCTATTATGTTGATCCCATCTAGACCCTCATAGTGGTCTGACAATGATCACAGAGAAATTGTATCAAGAAAACACCAAAACAAAAAACAAGAACAACACTCCAAAAACAGTGAAAAATGCAGTTTTCGGAAAACCAAATACCACAAAACAAAGAGCAAGTTTAGATGCACTTGAATGGTATATATGTATTCATATCCTGCTCCACGTATGCATCCATAACTTCTGTTATTGCCTTGGCTGCATTACACCAGTTAATTTCTAATGAGTGTATTTGGTTGCGATAACGTATTGAACAAACCAGGAGACATTCGCCTAGACGTCTCGGAGACCTGCATTGTGTAATTCATTAATAACTAAAGGAGTTGAGCGTCAAAATTACGCCATGGTTTTATCACAAGTGTCTTTATATTATGATGACGACAATGAAAATAGCATTTTATAAATTTTGTGCATTCTCGCTGCTTTTCTGGATTTATCTTCACATGGAACACACAAATTAAAATATTTTAAAGCCAGGGATATATCAATACTTTGAAGAGCTATATGACCAAAAGGGACCAAAGGACAAGTTTCTAACACTGCCTTTTTTTTGTTTACGAGGTAACATTGTTATATACAAACTCTAAAACAGCGTAGTGACTATGAATTTTTAACACCATACGCAAGAATATAGGCTCTATGGTTGCTCATAATGGGAAGTTCACAATTGTGATCACGTTCGTTGAACAGTTTAGTGTTGAACTTTCCTTTGCTTTTGATTGATTGATAAATGTCTTGGAATGTGTCAACTATATTGTTGTTCTTTCTGTCTTTTTGTGGTGAAGAGTTTTATACCACATCTGCGGGACTAAAAACAAAGTATTGAAAAAAAATGATAAAAAATCTTCACCGGAATTCGACCCAACATTTATCTCTATGAAATTGGAGACATATGTTATAAGTAGAAATTAAACCTACACTAATGAGTGAAAATGTGTTTCATCTCCTAGGACACATTGGAAACAATGCAACTAGTAAGACATAACACCGGTTTTTATGTTCTTAAAAACGTAGAGGAGTAGGGAATTTGAGTTTTAGTGTGGGGTCTTCAGATGTGCATCTTAGGCTATAAACATGCCTGCAGTAGCCTCGTGTGACAAACCAGTCAGTGGATGAAAGTGTTCGTCCCTCTTACTTGAATGCTCAACAGTTACTGCTTTGATGCTGATAGAGAGACAATTATTGTAGGACTTTCCGATTTGCTTCTCTCTAACCAGAACTTCGATCATGTTTTACTTAAGGAATGATTGTAATATTTTTTCTGTCTATGAAGAAATAACATAAAAAATATGGTGCACACTGAATAACCGGCGTAGCGGGTTATTTAAAAGTGTGCACCACATTTTTTATGTTATTTCGAATAGACCGAAAAAATATTAAAGTCATTTCTTATAATTTAATTCTAAAAAGGAGTAAATCATGATAAAAACGTTGATGACGTCGCAGTCACATGACAAAATTATGTCTATGAGCTGATAGACAAAACACTTTCAGCCAATCAGAAGACGTGTTACATCCAAAATTAAATTATTTCAAATTGTGAAAAAAGAATACGTCGAAATGTCGATTTTATATTGAAACAGTTGGAAGCACAACACAACAGCCAGCATGATTTTAGATCGTCTTTGGCATCAAAACAATGTGACGTCATAGGTATACTTCCAATGTCAAACATAAACACTAGACGTATTTATACTTTTCGTACGCTTATGAATGTTTCAATAGACAAAAAGTAAATTTTGAGGCACAAAATATGACTTTTTTGTTTATTTTTTTTGAGAAATAACATACCAAAAAAAAAACCGGAATTCAAAATGGTGGCTTTCCTTAGTTACGGACTGGTAGAACGTGGAATCTAACTCTTCAAAATATTTGTCAACGTCCGGTTATTGGTGGGGATCGTGTTGCTTAATCATTAGTTAGCTATGTTGTGTTTTGTGTACTGTTGTTTTTTTTTTTTGTTTGTCGTTTTTCGTTTATTGCCATATGCATTGTCAGTTTGTTTTTTGACTTATCAGTTTAACTATCCAATGGTATCTTTCGCCTCTCTTTAAATATATGAATGTGGAAAAATAAATTCGAAAAATAGATAAATAAACATTTTATTCATAACGTAATTACAAATTCATTATTTGTGTTCTCAATGAGCTTGGAATGAGCACGTGGTTAATCATGTGGACGACTCCATTGGTGGCGCTGATATCTGGTTTGATGACGCTTGTTGTTCCATCAACATGGACAGTTGTACCTAAAAGAAAAACAAAAATTCAGAATTTAAAGGACTATGGGTAATTTGTGTTGTTCCTACCCAAAATTAAAATAACGTCACGTGACTCACGTCATTGCTTAAATTTCCATTTTTTAGAACGTTTTTGACCAATCACGACAAATTGGTGTACCCTTTTAAAAACATAACCTAGAATGTATTAGATTTTGAAAGTGAAAATTCCACGCAGTGAAAGGTATTCAAAAGTTTGTGAGCAACAACATAAAATGCACTTATACAGATCCTCCAAAACTTTACAACGATAACATTGCCCGATTCTGTTTCAACCTTGATTTGAATAAAAATTACATATTTCAAACTGCACATCTCTAATCTTAAATACCATTTAACTCATTCAAATATCTAGGGATATGTCATATGTCTGCTTGGCGGATAGTAACCTTAGACAGAGTAAACCGGTCAGTGGTACTGACCTAGTTGTAAGCAATGAAGGGCACCATACATGTAATATTTGACCCGGACGTTCAGCATATATCATCATTATCATCCCCAAAGCTGCCAAAGAGTCTCTTAATCTTGCTACTGAGCAATTCTAATTTTAAAGGAAAATAATTTCGGAATCCACCCCATCCCTAGGAAACGTAATCGTGCGTGGCTCAGACTAAAAGAGGTATGGTTTACGCTGTGAAGGTTGTTTTGGAATTTTCTCTTATAGACATAAACGCCAATTACTTGTAAATTCATGTTACATGCACTTTTAAATTTTGAAATATCCCAAAAGTAGAATGTTCTTCCTAATCATTTTTTCCATCCACCTTAAGATAACCTCCATATGGAGTATGCTATATGGGACATTTAAAGCAGCAAAGGATCCATGTTCCGTTGTTTATATACATGTACATTTGTTATTTAGCAAACACCATGCATATCCAAACAAAATCTAATGAACTTTGTCATCAAACAGTGGCGGATCCGGGGTGGGGGGGGGGGGGGGGGGGGGGGGGGTTCCGGGGGTTGGAACCCCCTATATTTTGACGATCAATGCTTTTGAATGGGGAGATATGGTTGGAGGTTGGAACCCCCCTTCCTTTAAAAATGGCTTGATCCGCCCCTGACAAATGATTGAAAATGTCACTGCAACTAACCCGAACAATACAAACAGATAGACAAGCACGGGGCACGTCGAGATGAATATTTATTTACTTGGCAGGACATAATCTATGTATAGATTAAGTGATCTAGGATATCTGAATAATAATTTTGATAAACCAACAATCCAGAAAGAGTGAAACCGTGAAGTTGTGCACATACCAGAAGTTAATATTAAATACAGCATATACACTTGAAACATATAAAAGTATACACTATTATGCCCGCGTTTGTTCAGTTTACAATCTAGTACTTACCAAAGAATGAAGCTGAAATTCGCTCACGATCTGCTTCTTCTAAAGTGTGGAGGGAACCTGAGTGTAAACCGTCCTTGTAAATTGTTCCAGGTATAACATGATACAATAAGACCTCTAAAACGATACGTTATTGTCATAAAGTAGAGACGATATATCTTTTTCCATTAAAAAGATTGTTTCTTTGGTTTTTTGCTATAATTTTTTGGGGGATTTTTTTTCTGATTTCGTTTCTGTTCATTTGTTTGTTTTTATCAATATCTTTTTGATGTTTGGTTTCGTCTTTTGCAAAATGGTTTCTTGTAATTTGACATGTATCGATTTGCTTAAGAATAAAAACATTCCGATTGTGTATGAATCATTTATTAAATCTAATGAAAATAGCGTTTTTTTGGAACGGACAGAAATGTTAACTCAATAATATATACCAACTGTTATAGCTAGCTGGTTACGGGATAAAGTTATTCTAAATATATCTGCATATGTATGCTAGAATAACAAACAATATGTGTTGATCATTAGATATATATTTTTCAATATTTTAATACATTGACTTTTAATGTAAATTATGTATTTTATCTTCTTTTCTCAATTCTAACGTCAGAGGAGTAATTTAAATGTTGCAGAATTTATTTTACAAGTGAAATGTTTTTTTTTTTGTACTTGGAAATCACGCTATTACAAAAAACAATAATATGCATCTTTAATCAGATAATGTACTTTCAAGTGTATTTTTCAAACACATAGTAAGATGTTTTTCTAGTATACTTTATACACAAGTACATTTTATATATTGAATAGAAAAGGCATTTTTAAACGCATTTTATCAACTATTTGTTAGTTATTTTGTTAGCGATACATGAATGATTACTACGGCTGTGGATTACATCTGTAATAAGAAATTTGAAAAAAATATGTGTTGTAAAGAGACGAAATGATCGAAATTTTTATTTATTAACAAATTCAGGACCGGATCGCGCAACTTTTGGAAAAGACATACCTTGAGATAGTTTGGTATAGTTTCCTATCCTTATATGAACCTGTCAATTAACTATGAAATAAGTTTCAAAAGGTACTACCTTTACGAAAATATATTTTACTGAACAGGACACTCATTTAAAGTGTTTATGTATTTAAGAGTGACTTCAACTTTTTTTATTGTCCAGGTTCTCTTTGTTAATGAAGTACTCTCAGACTGAAACTACATATATTATACATGCAGGTTGAAGCAAATTGACTTACATTTGGTAGATCTGGTGTTATAGCATACTTAATCATAATACAAAATATAACGAAACTTACTCTTCAGGAGATCTGGGTTAGCCAGAAGCTTGTTAACTTTGTCTCCCAAAGCTGCAAAGGCATCATTGGAAGGTGCCATCAGAGTGAAAGGACCTGCTGCAAAATAGTAAACATTTTTGTGACTTATTCGTTTGTGACGTTTCCGCCTGATTTTTTCCGGTATAAAAAAATATTGCCCCGATCAGACTCGACAAATTTTACAGGTGGGGGGGGGGGGGGGGGCTAGGATGCAAAATTGTATCCTGCACATTTCCTTTAGTTGTAATTTCTGTCCTGCCTTTTTAATTTTCACTCTATTCGGTCCTGCCTTTTTTTTTTACATAAATTGTCATCCTGCCTTTTTTTTTAACTCAAAACTCCTGTCCTGCCTTTTTTTCAAATTTGATCATCTTGACTTGTGACTTACAATGCGGTATTGGTTTTTCTCACTGTCAAAGATCGTACTGTGATGCGCAGCTGATTACATCCTTTTCCTTTGGTCTTTGGTGGATACTTGTCTCGTAGGCGTTCATATCGCATTTCCGTATTTCAATATAGTTATAGATTAAACAGGATATTTCTTTATATATTTATCATAATTATATATTATTGTATATTTCTATTATCTATGTAGCGCCCATCGTTGACTTGTAATTTATTAGATAAGACCTATTTTTTTTGTTTATTTATCACATTTTCGATATTTCTATCATTTAGGGAGCTACCATTTGATTTTTTATGGGAGGGGGGGGGGGGGGGATTAGGATGAAATATTTTGTCCTGCATTTTTTTAAGTTGTAATCTCTGTCCTGACTTTCTATTTTTCCCTCTATTCGGTCCTGCCTTTTTTTAAAAAGTTTATCCTGACTTTTTTTTACCTAAATTGTCATCCTGACTTTTTTTTTGTAAGCGTCTCATCCTGCCTTTTTTTTTAACTCAAAACTCCTGTCCTGCCTATTTTTTTCAAATTTCATCTTAGCAACACCCCCCCCCCCCCATAAAAATCAAATGGTAGCTCCCTTATTTGACAACCAACTTGTTTGATTTGTGAAACAATATGCACTGTGATTAATTATACCCCCGCTCAATGGTGTTAACTCTATTTTGAAGTAAATACGAAAAATGCCCATGACATATATAAAGATATTTCCGCAAAAAGGAAAAAGAATACCGAAGGAAATAAATCGTGTGATACTGTATGGGATATATTCAGACGAAGCTTGGTGCCAAACATCAAGAAGCTATGGCGTGTAGTTGCTAAAAAAAAACATGTGACGAAAGTTTCATAAGAGCGCATGATATTTTTAAGCTGTGAATGTTTGGCAAACAGGAAGTAGAACATCGAGGATACGGAAAACGTGCCAAACATCCGGAGGCTATGGAGTGTAATTGCTGAGATATAAAATGTGACGAAAGTTTCATATGTGTGCATAATATATTTAAGCTGTAATGTCTTTGCAAACAGGAAGTAGAACATCGAGGATGCGCAAAACGTGTTTCGCGGTATTGCATAACCAGATGAAGATAAGTGTCATACATAAGGTATTGTGTGTTAATTTATGTTTTTTGATTGAGTTAAGCCTTCCAATTGATATTTTATAGTGTGTTTTTCTATGTTGTGATGTTATACTATTGTTTCAGAAAAGGGAGAAGGTTTGGTACCATTAAAACGTTTAATCCCGCTGCAAATGTTTGCACCTGTCCTAAGTCAGGAATCTGATTATAGTAGTTGTCGTCTGTTTATGTAGTTCATACGTGTGACTTGTTTCTCGTTTTTATATAGATTAGACCGTTGGTTTTTCCGTTTGAATGGTTTTACACTAGTATTTTTTTGGGGCCCTTTATAGCTTGCTGTTCGGTGTGAGCCAATGCTCCGTGTTGAAGGCCGTACCTTGACCTATAATGGTTTACTTTTATAAATTGTAACTTGGATGGAGAGTTGTCTCATTGGCACTCATACCACATCTTCCTATATCTAGATATAAAATGTAGTGAACACGACATTGCGTTACGGACATACAGACAGAGGTGAACACCTGTGGCGTGTCCTCTTTGTAGCCGGGATATAAAAAGGAGAACCACCGTAGTTGTAATCGGGGTTATGCTAGTTTACCATAAATATATTTTATCTGACTTTTATTGGTTAAAATCTTAAGAGAATGATCTTTCAAGAATGAATCAGGCTACATGTACGTTTGGTTTGCAGTGGTTTACAGGCTTTACATGCTTCAGAGAAGTTTGAGTTATTTACAAAACGGACGTAAAGTAATTCAAAACCATCCAGGAGCTACATATTTCGAAAATACTAACCTTGCAGGTTCTCGACAAGCCCAGCGGCCTTAGCTGCAGCTACAAGTGTGGAGAAGTTCCCATCAGCTGTCAAAACATCAACAATACTTCCTGCTGGTGGCATCATGACGTCATGGACAATATGAACGACACCATTACTGGCCATTATGTCTGATCTAAGAATTCTAGAACCTTCAGCTGTTACATGTCTCTGGATGACAAAATATGCATGTTATATATTAAAGAGAGTAAAAAAATGCGTGACAGGATATGCACCTTTCCCAAATCCCGCCTTTTTGTAATTTTTTCTCACTTTTTTTTTCCAGATCCTACATTTTTTACCCTCTTTATCCCATATTCCCACTTTTTTACCTCCTATATTCTTCTTAAGGTGGTACATAACACTTCAGTGAGATAACTCTGTAAAAGTCAGTTGAACGTTTTAATCACGTTCTATTGTTAAGGAAATATTTAAGCTTCTCAATGATCAAAAATAGTGGCTTGTCAAACTGCTATTTATCCAATGAAATTTATCCGATAAAATGTGTGGTTCAAGTTTTTTTCAAATTTTGATATTTTTGTCAAAGGGTCAAAGTTAATATTTTGTCAAAATTTTATGAAAATTAAACGAGCCAAATTAATTTTAGTCAAGGTGTTTGGTACCACCTTAATCCCAAAAGCGTGTGAACCCCTCATATATCTGTTTACATTTTGTTGAACATAGAGATATTTACGCGAAATTTCTGTTGACTCCGAAGCACATGACTAATGCAACTTGAAGGCTTAAGGATGTTCGCTCCTCTTGTTTTTGAATTTTTGCCAGATTTTCGGAATTCTCTTGTCTTATCCATGCAAATAATTTTGTCCACTAACCCCTACTTTTCTTTTCATAATTTTATTACATTTAGTTTAAAAAGCCATATTTGAAAATCTTATAAAATCCTTATTATTTTTTCATTGTTTTTGAAAGAAAAAAGGTGTCAATGTTAAATGTATGAAAAATCTAGAGAGAATCATTTCCTGCCAAATTTTCAAAGGCTTATGATTCGAAAACAAGCACACGGACCCATAACTTTTTTCTGCTTTTTTAGTTCCTTCATTCATATACTATCAGTTCATAACAGTCTTTTAAAAAGCTTGTTATTCTGAAACAGAGTAGCGAACATCCTTAACATACACTTGACTACGATGGTCAAAAATAGTTTAACGCTTCTTAAACAAATAAATGACATTATTATCCTTAATTTTGAAAAGCATGCAACAGTTGCCTCTTGTTTATTTTTTTCAATGATCATTCAAAATTTGAATAAACTCACCCTTGCTGTAAAATAATAGTTGATTCTGATTTTGGTTCCTGCCAAACTGTCTAGTTGGAGTTCATTAACATGAAGATCTTTCAGTTTGTATATACCATTGACAACGTGGTATTTGAGTGTTTCAGCTAGTGTGTTCGGGTCCTTCTTGAGGGCTGTAAGAGTATCATTTCCAAGTCTGGTGAAGGCATAGTCGTATGGTGCAAAAACTGTGAATGGACCTAAAAAAAGAAATAGTTATATTTATAGATATTATAAATATATGTTAGCCTAGTTGGTCGAGTGGTTTAGGGCGCTGGACAATAATAAATAAATGTCCAAGAAATCAAGGCTCGATCTATCTATTTTCTGTTAATGTCGATCAATTTTACACGGTACAATCTTTTTGATAAATACTTTTAATATAGAACTTTTATATATATACGATTTAAGTGATCACAAATTAAAATATTATTTTTATAGGTCATAGAAACTTTAACCGATGATCATTTTGTAATATCATATTAAAAGGGGTAGCTCTTATTTTCAGTTTTGGTGTGTGTAAAGAATACACGTTAATATATTTGAACTGAATTACTAAATCAATATACTGAAAATGTATTTTACTATTTTATAAACAAGCAAGGATAATGAATGTTTAATAAGTTATTATGGATTTTGTCCTATTCACTTTTTATTGTAAATAAAATGTTTTCAAATAATAAAAATACACGTTACAGTTGTACAATGCCCTTTCGTCACTTGAAATTTGCTTGCTGTTCAGAAAAGCGAATGATCAATGCCGACAGAGAGTGAATATCAAGAATCACAAGTCGGTACGTAGGATGTTCGCTTGTCATGTCAGCCATCTTGCTTTTATTATTTTTGTCGATTTCATAACATTTCTAAAAGGATTTTGACAGTGAAATCATCTGTATATAAAGTACAAAAAATGTATATGAAAATATCAAGAAACTAATAATTGAAAATGAATAACACCAGTTCCCGCATTTAAAAAAAAATATTCGCATACCTAAAATAAAAACAAGCGCAAAGACATAAGTGTGTTATTGCTTAGTAATATGAGCCAGGTGTTAATACTTATTATTTTTGGTAATCAGATAAACAAATTTGCAGAAAATCTTATGCTCTAAAAGATGACAGCCTCAAACCACCATGATAGTAATGTGCTACTGCATATATTTAAAAAAAAAGTTTACAATGTTTTATTCACTAGTATATAGATTTGTAAAACGATTTTGATTTGTATTGATTTTTCAAATGCCTTTCATTTTAAAACAACTAATTTAGAATCCTGTTACTTGAACTACACCGGTAAAAATTGTTTAAGGTAGATGGGGTGTTTAAATGCACGGCTATATATTTGTCTTGAACTTTTGAGTCAACGTACTTTCAAATTTCAATACAAAAAACTGGGAGTTACGGACCTTGTTTTTTGCCGGTGAAATACATTGGAATTTACGAAATCAAAGTTATATTGTATATGGGATATATAGGGGAAACTTAATGTTTCCTTATTGAGGTCACGGGCCTTGAATTCTTGAGAAATCAAAAAAATTGTCCTTCAAAATTTATCATAATTATCTTTCCTTGCTTTTAAAAGGATTGTTTCCTGAAAATTTTGAATACACTTAATTCTTTTATAGTTTAATCTTTTAATTTTAAGGTTTAGATGGTTCTGTTGTATATTGAATGATACTTGGTAAAATATCGTTAAACCAAAAAAAAATTTTGCGACAAGCACAGAAGGGATGAAAAAAAAGACACCCGATCTACCTTAAGCGGAGGTATTCTTATTTTACAACATTACCTCCTTGGCTCAAAACATCTGCTAATCCAGCTGTCTTCACCAAATCGACTAGAATTGATTCTGAGGTACGCCCCGCAAGTACAGAAACAATATCATTGGTGGCAGGGGTCGTAGACGCCAGACAAAGAGGGATAAATACTGACAGGAGTATTACTTTCAACATGGTTCAAGATCAGTAAAGATAGTAAAACCAAAACTTATTACGAATTTGTAGATTTTGGTGATAATGTACTTACGAAAGATTCGTGTCTAAGTGTGGGAAAAACCATATGCTGGAATGCCTTTATCTTAGGATGTTTGCCAAATGCTTAATATTAACCTTTAGATAAAGGTCTATGGTTACATGTGTAATTTGAATGAATTCTAAACTTTTATTCACATTTCGCGTCATACACGGAAATTTCTGAATTTCCGTACCGTACTCGAAATAATTATCCTTGTGTTTAATGTTTTTCTGTTACAGTATTGATATACAATCTAGACATAAACACAAAATACTAAAAATGGTATATAAATGAATACCACATTGTTACATTTACACTAATACTAAATGTCTGTTGTATTGTTGAAATCCGACATTACTAAAGGCCTTCACATTTTGATTTTCAAACTAGCATTAAATTAAAATAAAGAAAAGTATCAAGGAATTATCCTTATGCGTCTTGCTTTAGTGATTTTTTGTTAGCTGTGAATTTTAAAATAGCTGGGAGAAAATGCTTTATTTATAAGACGTTATTGGTTTTGAACTAGCTTTCAGTAACTGCGATTGTTTCTTTTTTTTCTTTATGTTAGTTGGGTTTTTTGGGGTTTTTTTTTTTTTTGTTCTTTTTGTGTCGATCTGATGAGTTAGGCCATTTCCAACTGATCTTACAGCTTTTATATTGTGCTTTGCACCACTGTTCTAGGAAAGATGAAGCGTTAGCACTTCAAAATATGTTTAACCCCGCCTTATTTCTATATGTCACTGACAAGTTTCATTGTAATCAGGTATCTTTTACTGAGTGCAGATGTGTTTCGGAAGCAGAGTGTATGTAAGAAAAGGATCGAGAGTATAAGCGTACGAGCGTAAGCACAGACGGACGGACGGACAAAAAGATCACTAAAAATCCTACTTTACTATGCGGCAAGTGTTTTAACAATAACATATACAAAGAGTACAGTTATAAAGTACATGCATATTAAAAACGCTTTTTTCCCTTCAATTCTAGTCACTGCCTTAACAAAGGATCAGTAAATTGAACAGTGCAACATGCTTTAGTCATATACATCAAATTTGAGATTGTTATCTTTAAAAACGGATGCGAAATTATATCGACCTATGATAGCTAAACAGAGTGCATGTCAATGAGGCAGCAACCCAAGGAAAAAAAACCCTCAATAAACATCTAGATGTGAACATTAGGTCTTAAACAATAGAAAGTTGTCAATGCAATATGTAATGCACTAATTGGACCAGATTTATTATCTATCTCTTTCTGGTCTCTAGATAAATACTGTATAATATATTTTATATATTATTTATATGGAATGTAATTAGTTTCACTATTTAATAGAAATTTTCTTCATTTCACGTTTTATGTGCACCTACATCGGTTTATATTCCTATATCAGACCAGGTTTGCACGGTTCGTCTTTTTAGTAAAATTTTGCAATACTTTCCATTTATTGCTTCAAGTTTATGGGCACTTAAAACATTTGAAGAATTATATAGTGAACTACGGAAGCCTTTTAGGGCCATGCCAATTTACTTTTTACAATTTGTTATAACAGATTATTAATTTGATATCAAATAAATGCTTCAATAAATCATATGAATTATTTGTTATATCAAATTATTAATTTGTTATATCAAATTATCACAATTTGTTATATCAAATTGATAATTTGTTATATCAAATTGATAATTTGTATATCAAATTGATAATTTGTTATATCAAATTGATAATTGGTTATATCAAATTGATAATTGGTTATATCAAATTGATAATCTGTTATTTCAAATTAATAATCTGTTATATCACATTAATAATCTGTTATAACAAATTGTAAAAAGTAAATTGGCATGGCCCTAAAAGGCTTCCGTAGTGAACACTTTTGTATAGAAGAGTCATGTCATGACTTGAATTGACACTAAGGACTGAGTTAAAAAAAAATCGCACATAAGCAATTTTCTTCATATTTTTTTTATCATTATTTAAAAAATTCTAATAATGAACCTTTTAGGTCTTGAAATTAAAATAAAGAACCAATTATTTTCTGAAAACCTCACATATATCATGGAAACGTAGACTGCTAGTACAGTGACTTGTCATTGAAATATCCTGTTTTAGAAAATGATTCACATTCAGTTGCTGAAATTAATGCTGGTAAAGACTAAAAAATGAAATGGTTCAATGTTCTCAAGAACAGAACAATAATATATAATATATTCCCAATACTCAATTGTGAGTTCGAACCCCGCACGTGGCAGGTGCGCTCGACTCTAATCTTAATTCACGAGGGTTGCCAGTTTTACTGCGGAAGGTCTATGGTTCTCTCCGGGAACTCCTGCTTCCTCCATCAATACAGAATGGCCGCCACGAAATAGCCAATAGTATATAATGAGGCGCTAAACACCTTAAACCAATCAACCAATCCTATTACTGTCTCTAATAATCATTTTTGTAGATTTATGCAATTTGTCAATTACAGATTGTGTTTCTGGATGGCTATTCAGCTTCTTATACGGCTGAAACTAAAGCTATGAAAGCAAGAAAAGATTTAATAATTTAAGTTTTGTATTTTAAACTATTTTGGAAACAGGATATGCCAGAACAGCCAAAAGCACAATAAACATTAACAAACACTAAGAGGTCAACCGACGGTCTCTATTTATAGACAAGTGTACATACCATATTCCTTGCTCTAAATCAATTCTGAACAGGAAGTACAAATTTCATATTACCGACTTTTGACTCTGGAGTATATAATATTTTTCCACATTACCTACTCTGTGGTACGACATTCTGGTACAGTGGCAAGTAAAAGAAACTAAAAATATAGTCAAATCAAAATTACAATTAGTGCAATTTGGGGAAAACCTAATTGTTTTATGTTATATATACACAACAAAATCATCAGAAAACAGTTAATTTTCCCCCAAAGTGCAACGATTGTAAGTTTGAATTTACTATTCTTAGATGCTCTTACTTTACCGAGTACCAGAATGTCATACCTCAGAGAAGGTAACCTGTAGCAAATTATATACTCCGGAGTCATAAGTAGGTAATATGAAAATACATATAGTCTAATCATGTCAATGTGTAGACAAAACGATCTTCAAAGTTCCTGGCATTGAGCACGCACCTGGGCATGTTTCGTAGTCAAGGCATTGAAGTACTCAAACCTCTCTATTTCGAACTTATAGGAAAAGAAAAGGAACTCAGACGAAAGTACAAGAAAACCTAGCCCCTAAAAAGCACATGTTAAAATAACTTTATAAAATTGTAATTACCAACCACAAAATTCTAAGTACAGTTAAAACAATTGATAAAACGAAACCACCACAAGTATTCACTGTGAGCCTTGGCTTGCACTTGTCGTGTCTGCTTGAGAACCGAGTCGGACGATGACATTTATATGGCACTTTCGTGTTCTTCGGGTGTTTATTTGGCACCAGTCGGCAAATGCAACATGTCTTAGGGAAAAAATTATCATTATAACCGAACATTGCAGATCGTTTAATAGTTTAAACTTTCGTCCTAACCAACCAAGGTTAGAATTCAGGATTTCATGTGATGGGTGGTTTGAGTGTGTTAGAAAACAAAACGTATTTACGAAGACAGTTACAGGTTTTACACATTTTTGCCCATTCGATGGGCGAGCATTGTTTGAACCCCACTTTCAATCCGCTCTTGCAATTAATTTTTAGTGTAATGTTTTATGAACTATAAATGTTTGTCTATTCGTCTTTTTTTATTCTTTGGTTTATTCCCCCTTACTATCTTCCTTTTACCACCAGAACATTGAATATACGATAAGAACATTTTGCTCCACAATGAAAGGTCTATTCAGGTTGTAGAAGGAGCAAGAACACTAAAGATAAACATTTTAAAATATAACTTCCGTGTAAATCTAGTTGAATCTTTTCCATTAAAACATTTCTGTTCTTCTTTGTTTTTCTCTTGAGAGTTCTTTGTTTTTCTAACTTGACGGAATGATATAGTAACAGTCTTTATAGTAATTGTTGTGGTAGTTAATTAATATAAACAGTATGTACAAGCGTATTTGCATTTGTGCACACCAAAGAAAATAACACCTTATAAATTTGACAGTCCTAATTGTTTTTGGAGGAGATTTTATGCTAAAACATTTTTCGTTTTGGTAGTCACAGTAGATGCATCATTTCCTTATTACATGTACTTATCATACGGTTGTGAAATGTAATTGCTTAGTAGGAACACAAATTTCCATATACACCGAGTGCATGTAAGGTTTTATGTTGCCTAATCATTGATTTTGTTATTTTCGTCTCCTTCTTCTTTCGTTTATCAACATATGAAAATGTGATGGCATCATGTGCAAGTGCTGTACAATGAAAAATAGAAAATTCTATGCACACTTAAAAATTTGAAAATAAATGTGACAGGTGCAGGATGAAGAAATTGATGATACTCTACAGAAGTATTGTTTCCCTGGTCTCAGGATGGAAAGAAACTCTTCATAGATACCAGGATAAAATTGTAAGCGTCAGACGCGCGTTTATTACAAAAGACGCATCAGTGACGCTCGAAGCAAAACAGTTAAAAAGGCTAGGTAAAATACGAAGCTGACGAGCACTGATGATGGAAGTAGGACCAGAGGTTTTCATTAAAGGTGTCGAAGTCAGTGTTAGTTGCGATGTGTTCTGGAAGTAGGTTCCAGTCTCGAATTTTTCATATCGGTGTTCGTATTCAGAGGTGTTGAATTGAGGTTGCATGATACCCACTGAGCGACTATGTAGTTTAATTTGTATATTGTGAACCAAAAAGCACAGTATACTGTGGAATTTCGGTGCCTACTTGTTCACAATGTCACGACATTTGAGATCTTTAATTTCAATTTATTCGTTTGTAATGTAATGTGTTGTTAGGTTGCTGTCTCGTAGGCGTATATCGTACATCTTTGTGTCTTCTTGGTATAAGGTTTTATACTTCCGATAGAAATTTGCTTCGGTGTTGGATTGACTTTGTTATTTTTTTCTTCTAGAGTGTATTAAGCTTAATAAAAATTGGCACCAAACCTTTGAAACTATAAAAAGTATCGTATGTAAAATGAAAAAAAAAGGAAATTCACATGTTCCAAAATCATTTTTATTTCCAATGGCATACACAATAAAGTTAATAGTAACAATCACCAACATCAAAAAGACCTAACCAACGATCTGTGAATAGTTTGTATTTTTGTTTGATCCATATGGCTCATTGAAGTGTATGACATCAAACAAATTTGCCGGTGTTAGCAATTTGGTCAGTTTATGTACAACACCATTTGTAGCATGGCTATCTTTCTCCTGTACCACAGCTCCATTGGCATAAATCTTGTCTCCTACAAAACATAAAGTACATATAAGTTTAAACAAGCCAATCAGTCTGATCCGTCAATGACCTATCCCGCCTCCTAATGCAAATCAGTCCTATATGTCGGGAATCTGAGCTGATTTATTATCTCCCCTTATTTTCACCTAGCGTTAGTTGACACCTCTAAATCACAAAAAAAATCTTAATAGTTTCATGTTGCACGCGATTGGAAATTAAAGTATGATACCGATTTGAGTAAGCGCACTGCATATGTTTCTATAGTGCCAGGTACATCGTCGCTACGCGTCGCCAGGTAAACTAAATTTGCGACAGTAAAACTACCGATGGACGTCCGAAAAGCTTCAAATACAATACAGTTATCTCTAAAGTAGCAAACCTTAGAACAGATTGAAATTCAAAACATCATGAACAGCCCAAACATATGTCATTGTGTAGTGCGATTATGCTTAACATTTATAATAATGTAAGACAGTTCGAATAAAAAAAAACGAAAAACTCAAATTATGTCATGTCGGGGCCTTTTATAGCTGACCATATATGAATTTTGATTATTGTTGAAGGCCAAAAGGTGACCTAAAAATTGCTTAATCCACGTTATTTCAACTATGTTGGATAGTTGTCTCATTTGCAATCATACCAAATATCCTTATTTTGTAATGAACATATGCGTGTTTTGGGAGGCGGCTTTCGTGGTATGGAGCTTGCGCCCTACTGTATTGAACATAGTTTGTGTCTTATTCTTATATATACCTACCCATAATAGTTGAAGTCAACTTTAAAGGACTTCGTCGATATAATGAAGGATAACTTTGATCTTGTACTCCCACTGAGTATATAGTTCCTCGTATCACGTGATATTCCAATACTTCTGCAAAAGAGAGACAACGAACTCTTCATACCCATTCTCTAAACTACACACATGTAACTCGTAATTGCTATCATGCAATTTTCACATATAACAATTATTATATACTTTTTGTAATACTGTTTCTTTCTATATGTCCAGGGTTAAAAGTGGAAAACTAATTAAATGCTAGTATAAAATACCAATTAAAACAATGTACAATCTCGTTTTCATTACATAAATTTGGGAAACAAATCTTAACCAAAAATTTGCGCCATATAAAAAAAAAAGACACCGACTGACGGTTTCGATCAGCTTGCTTTCTGAATAAAGAAAATTATAATCATTTGAACTTTTCACTTCTATACATTCGGAGTTTAGTGTGACGTCCATTTTCGCTGAACTAGTATACATTATTGTTTAAGGGGCCAGCTGAAGCCCGCCTCCTGGTGCGGGATTTTCTCGCTGTGTTGAAGACCCATTGGTGGCCTTGGGCTGTTTTCTGCTCTTTGGTCAGTTGTTGTCTCTTTGACGCAATCCCTGTTTCCATTCTCAATTGTATTGAACTCAATGGAATAATAATTTAACGACTATTCATTTTAAAACATTGAAGAAATTTAAACTGCTAATGTTTTAATCACTTATTAAAGGAGTACATGCGTTAAGGGTACTCAATAACTGTTTAAAACAGCAGTGAGCTTTTAATAGGCAGTTGCATCCATGTTGTTTAAGCATTCGTCTGTAACAGAATCAAAATAATCTGTGTTCCTTAAAAGCTTAGAATAAATTTATGTAAATATGTTGCCACAAGCGTTCCAAGGATGGTAGGAATTATTTCTCTTAATCTAGGTCCGTCTCCCCTTCAATATCCTGCTATGGTGATTAAAAAGTGACTCAATATACCTGTGAGAATGTTATAATAGATTACCTTTCTTAAACTCAACGCTTCTCTGATTAGTAGCTTTTTAAGCTCCAGCCGTTCAGAGTTATGTAATCATTTAATAATACTTACTTCGTAGATTTGTCACGTTTCTTTGAAGTTTTTGCCATTCATCGACTCCAAATCTAACAAACGCTGTATTTTCTGGTGCAAATACGGTAAATGGTCCCCCTGAAATACAAACTCTTCTTTAGTTTGGTTATCATTAACACTTTTATACCTTTAATTTACCTACATATTTTTTTATCCAGTTAACATTGTTACTCGTTTAGAACTATTAGCAACAATATGGTAATCTTGTCCGACCAATTTCAAACCATTATGATGCCACGAAAATCGAAATTCAACTATAAAGGTTGCAATTTTCTCAGGCACCTGACATTTTTGGTCATAAAATTCTGATTTGTTTCAGGTATGTGTTTTTTAAATAGTCGGACCGAGTGTATCTAGCACAAGAAACAATTGTTGTTTGCACTCCCTGCTTTCAAACGGACTTCTAAACCAAAGTTTCCAAATAAATTGATATTTATTTTTTCAAAATTTTTACAACTTCCCGTATCTCGGTGCACTAGATTAACACGTATTTGTTAAATTTATGGTTTAGGTTTAAGTTTTAGTCTATTTGTTAAAGCACCCTAGTCACTTTCATTGTATTTGATAATGGATGCTTCCTTTCAATGTTCTTACACTGGTGTTTGGCCTATGGTTGACCGTTTATCAAAACCACACAAGAACAGCAATAAAAGAATCTTTAATAATGGATACTGCAAGGTACAAGCCTCGAAGCATTTGAGTTGTGCCCATTGTGATACATAAACATTCTGATTTGCCTGTTTCAAAATGTTTATTGATATTAGAATACATATTTTGATATATTAATTCATACCATCTTGCATGATCTTTATCATGCCTGTTATTTGTAATGCATGAACAAATGTAGTATAGTCAGGGTCATTATATAGGACGTCCATAATGTTTCCAATTGGCGGGAAAAAGGCATCATGAACAACATGAATAATGCCGTTCTTTGTTAGCATATTTTTAGCCATTATTCTTGATCCCTGTATTAAAAGTGTCTGTAATAGAAGAAACAGAAATAGCCACATCATTTTTTGTACACACGTAGAAAGAATTCCAGGACCTGTATCTGCCATCAGAAATATTTTGAAAAATAAAGGCAAAATGTATTTCAACCCCATTGTTCTGTTTAATGGCATGTATAGGTCTTTCTAAGTACTATCAGCTTGATATTATACACATATTGTCATTTTGTTGATACTGTTTTGATAAATGAATATCCAAAGGATAATGATCGATTATGTATTGTGTACATGCGCTTTAATAAATATTAAACTGTTAATTTTATTCTATGATCTGTTTAAGTGTGAAAATGCCTCCAATGAAAAAAATATCTGAATATAAACGAAAAATGGTGTACACAACACACAGTTTCTTGTTGTTTCAGCGTAGTAACATTTGAAGGAAAGTATATCGAATTAATTATGTGATTGTATTCATTGATTTTACATAACAGCAATGTCAGAAACATATGCAGGATTTATATCAAATTTTCAATATACAAGTACTAATTAAACATCACAAAGACTCACGTCGCCATTCCTGTAATAGTTTACACGGATTCGTTGTGGGTGCAGAGTCCATAATGTCATTTCATTAACATGTAGTTCGTCGTACGTGTACACGTGTCGCACGGTGTGGAATTTGATGAAATCCGCCATTGCCTTGGTGTCATTTCTGAACTTTTTGTTGAATGTATCACCGAGTCGTTCAAATGCTAACCGGTCCGGACTGAAGAAGGTAAATGGACCTGTCAATACATTTGAAAGGGATTAAAGATTACCATGATAGTCACACGGTTGGTGCGAGTTTAATTCCATATAAATTTATGATGGAATTCATGTTCAAATTGAGAAAAATAATGATAGCAACGAAACATTTTAAAAACACACATCTAGATGTAGTCGGAACAGTTGCCGGAAATTACTATAAAAATAAGGTAAAGCACCGATAAATTGTCAAGAAGAACACTAACCCCTTATTCAAATTCAAAGAGAGGCGAAAGGTACCAAAGGGGTATTCAAACTTATAAGTTGAAAACAAACTGACAACGCCATGGCAAAGTTATGAACATAAAATTAATGAGGATTAAGTATGATTTATAGTTATTTCCTTTTATATCAGATGTGGTATGATTGTCGATGAGACAATATGTCAGATGTTACTTTACTTTATTGTTTATAGTAATTTTAATTAAGCCCATTTGTACATAGCACATAAGTTCCGGGGAGTTTTAACACTCCTACCTTACTCGGCGTATTCGGAAAAAGAAGAAGAGACAACTAAATGACCTGGATTTAAAAATCACCAGATCAACGTACGACTTTCAACAATGAAAGAATCCAATACAATAAAGTCAGCTATAATTGTGGACACCACCACGAAAGAAAAATGTAGGAAGACAAACAAAAATGAAACTGGGAAACACATGGTCGACAAACCTTGTTCTATACATATGTAATATGAACATTTACCTAGACAGGAGAACCAGCCTACAACACAGTGTGGAAATTAGCTGAACACATTTTAATCGACCGGAATTAAATATCCTCAAACTGGTACCTGTAATCACATTGTTTACATCATTTGGATGGAATTGTTAACGAATTAAAATGATGATAAGACAGAAAGATCGAAAGCAGTGATCATTTTGACGTTTCAGAATTTAAAGGATTGTGTGGAATTTCACTGTTCGTACCCAAAATGAATATTACGTCACGTGATTGGGAGAATTTCCATTGTTTTAGGATGTTGTAAGCTAATCACAACCTTTTGATTTACGCTTTTAAAAAATATTACCCAGAACGCATTAGATTCTGAAAAGACGTATTGTGATGTAAAGGAGTCAGTTTTGGATTGGTGACAGATAAAAAGGGATAAGAAACTGAACATGCTTTGTCAAAAATGCGGACGAAATGAATCAAGGAAACGAGACAGTTGAAAAAAGACGCAGTCGAACGTCAAATACTTTATCTAAAGTTCAAGACGGGTGTTGCCAGTGAAGATGGAACTGATTGTCCTTCCAGAACACCTTATGAATTAAAAGATGTATGATTACTAATGAGACATGTTCCACCAGAGACCAAATGACGTAGAAGTCAGTGTGTTTAGAATATCTCCGGTTTTTGTAGGGTTCGTGTTGCACAATCTTTTCTGTGTAGTACTTTGTTAACTGTGATTTGTATGTATGACTTTTTCTCTTTTCGTCATGGTTTCCAGGGGCGGATCCATGATTTTTGGAAGCGGGCGTAATCCAATAAAACAAGAAATATTGACGAGCGTAGATACAATAAAGAGTTTAAAAACATTTTGGACTATGTAATGCTAAAAATTGATATATTTTCCATTCAAAAGGGGAGCATACGCATTCTACCCCCCTTTGAATCCGCCACTGCTGTTGTTGTCTGTTATCGACTTAGGTTTTTTTTATTTCCCTTGGCTGTCCTATAATATAAACTTGTTTGAAAAAGATTATTCTATTGTTTGATCTTGACAACTATCTATTCCGGACCATTATTGGTATAAATTTTTAGTACTTGTTGAACTTTTTCTGTTCTTGAACTTATTGGTGGCGTTATACAATCTTGCTACGTCAGAGATATTTCGGGCTTTAACACGAAACTTAGTACATGTGTTACGTATCTCCTTATTTTTATGTTTGGTAATTGTGATTGAAATCAATTACTGTCTATTATATAAAATATTGACGTCACAAGTCAACATGACATTTCAAAATTTGATTGTGTTATCTAACAGCGTAATAAAATGCAATTCGCAATTTTGGAAATAAGCATGTCTGTAGAGGTCAACACCTACATTTATGACATAAGTTATATATATCTTTAACCTTCAAAAATTGAAATTATACATTCTACTAGATGAGATGCTATGACAGAAATAATTAGGATGACAATACTAAAAAATTGAAACAAAGGCTTCAAATATGCCAGAACCTTCAGAAACAGGTGATGCTCTGATTTTGCTTTGTGATTTTAAAACATCCTTTAACTGCAGTTCCCCGTTTTAGAATCTAATGAATTATAGATTTTTTTTCCTCAATCGTACACCAAAACGTTGTGATTAGCTCACAACGTCCTAAACAATAGGAATTCAACCAATGGCGTGACGTAATTTTCATTTTGAGGTACAAACAATGAAATTACCCATAATCCTTTAGATTCTGAAACGGCGAATTAAATGTCATTAAGAAAATGAATAGTACTGAAACATACCACCGACTTCAAGGATTTCAATAATTCCAGAATTCTTCAGGACGTCAAGAGTTGTCGCGGTATATTGGCTCACATTAAGTCCTTGTACTAAATTAGAGAAAACAAATCCGCCACCATCTTGGATGGTATCATCAGCAGCTAAAGAAACGAAAATTACAAAAATAATTAATAGACCACTAGCAGCCATTTGTACAGCATGAATTATAATAAATGTACGTTAGTAACCCCTTGACCACACTAGGCGCCAAACCAAACTGATAAGATATAATACATGGACTTTTATTTAATATTAACAATCTGTCCTTTTAATAATAATATTTAACATCTGTAGTTTTTCTAAAGAGATTTGTAATGGTAGGGATATTGATAAGCGAGTTGCCATCAAATTTGAAGGCCGTCCGGTTGAATATTATTGCTTACATCCACTTCATTTGAACTTTGGTGAATAGTTGTCTCATTGGCAATCATACCACACCTACTTATTTTTAGTTTGTAAACATTAGATGTGATAAGAAAAAGTAGTCGACCATGTATTTTTGTCAAACATATCTTTATTTAATTGATTGTATATCAAAATATCGAACCAGAAAAACGACACAAAGAACATGAAAACTCAAGAAAAGTTTAGACGTTTTTGGGTCTAATATCTATAAGTTCGTTGATTTTTGTTGTGTTTTGTGTTTTTGTTTTGTTGTTGTTGCTTTTATACATTATAACAGCAAACTGAGTTCTTGGATGAAAACATGTTCGTTCTCAAGCCGAGGACAAACAAACGTACCTTCATATATAAACATTTAGAATTAAAAAATGTCTTATTTAAAATGCATTTGATTCCCACCTGAATTATTTATTTTGCAAATGTACAGAATACTTAAGCTTTGTCTATCTCAAAACGGCACACGGGTCTATTTTTTTATTTTTTGAAGGATTGAAATTTATGTACAGCAATTCGCAGAAGACGTCACTTTCGATTTTATATTATCGACAGCGGGATTGTTTATATTGTATCCCTTTCAAAAGACAGGCGGAAGATACCAGAGTGACAATCAAACTCAGATGTCGATAACAAACTGACAACGTCATGGCAAAAAAAAACCAAAAAGCGACCAAAAGATAGTATACAAAACTCAACATGAAAAAAACTAAAGACTGAGCAACACGAACCCCATCAAATCCGGGAAGGTTTCTGGTTCTCCAAACAGGTAAAAAGATCCTTCCACTCATGTGGCACCAGTCGTGATTTTAATACTAGTATAAGTACAAACTCGATGATAAGTCTTATTTGGTGATGTAAATTATGGTTTATAGTCTGGAACAGTATGAGTACTTTTCTATTCAATTTGTCATATGTTATGCAAACCTTTTCTATCAATTTCTTATATTTTTCTAAAGAAAGTGTTTAGCAATGATATAATGTAGGCTGGTTCTCATCCTTGCAACATACGGATTCATGTAACTGAATCACCCTTGTTGTCAGGTCAGAGACAAACAGACACAGGCCAGTGACACAGTCTCTGATTTAATTTAACGTTCTAAGTAGAGTATCAATCAGTCTAACAAATAGATGTTGAATTATTGGAAATTTCAAAGAAATTATTATTCAATTTTCAAAGTTAACGTATACTAGCTGTATAACGTCAGATCCTTTCGGGTCACAATGTAATTTTCACATGCTTGCTAAAGCAACGCGTAACAGTTAGTTCGCCTACCCTGAAGTAACATCATGTAACAATTCGTTCACGTACCCTAGCAAATATCGCTAACAAAACCCCGATATCAAGTGTATGAGTGTTTAATTTACCAAAAAAGTGTAAAATGGTAACAGTTTTTTTTCCTGTGTAATAGCACACACTGGAGAAGAAAGATTTTCTAGTTCGAGTTCATTCTTTATTATGAAGTTCTGCAGTATACTTTGTTTCGTGTAAAGATAGACTTTAAATGAACGATTGCGAACGTGTATGCAGTCAATCATGTAACCCCTTAATGCTCTTCTAGGTAGAATCAAGAGTTTTAAGAAATTCAACGTAAATCGAAAATATGAAGGCATAATTTGTCTAAGCCGAATTCAAGTTAAAATTCTTTATTGGTTATAAACATTGAGATACAACAGATCATATACATATTATAGGAATACTAAAAAAAACACATACAGGCATATCAAAGAAAATGTATACGAACATTTCTTAGTATATTGTGCTTCAATAAATAAAATAGTTTAAAACAGGGACATATTGAATGTTTGCGAGTGTAACCCCCCCCCCCCCCCCCCCTCTAAAATCTTGGCATAACGATATAACACCATAATATTAAAACATACTGACTATAAACATCAGTTTAAAAGAGTTTATCTCAACATATATACATACGTACAAAACACACACAAACAAAAAAACACCACCAAAAAGACAAAATAAAGACATAAAGTAATTGTCTCTGAATTTACTTGCAGTTACTGAAAGCTATTCAAGGCCAGTGACGTCTTATGAAAAGTATCATAGGGCTACATTAATCGTCGGCTCTTCTTAAAGTATTGTAAGTGATTAAATTAGGAAAAAGTTTTTGCACTTGGAGTATTCGGACTCAAAGTCAAGAGGTTATACATTATACGTTGGAAGCGTTTACTATCCTGAAAGGTAACATGTTATTGATCGAGTTCAGGTAAAGATCTAGAAATTTAGAAGCGAGCGCGTTATAACAGGAAATGTTGGATGTATTGTCGAGCATATCGAGGCGAAATAGTTTTTGAAAGATTTTATGCTAAACAACGACATGTTTTCCACTCGAAGGGGGAATTACGCACTCTACGACCCTGAATCCGCCACTGTATCAAATGAGAGAAAACATTACAAAGTACTAGTAGCTAAAATATATTACTTTTACAACACTACATTTTTTTTAAGAAAGACAAATATATTCAAGTCCCGTTATTTTTTGTAGGCTTGGCTTTTCGACAAAAAAGCGACTTGATTTCATTTCTGTAGACTTCGCCTGTCTTGTAATATATGATGAAATTGATGCAAGAATTTACCACTACCGGAATGTAGCCTACAGACATTGCAACTTCAAAAATGTTACTCGTGTATTTATATGGCGTCATTCCTATGAAAATAATGATCATCAATATTCCAGTGGGCAGCTGACAGACGAAAAACGAAAATGTTAGAAACAAGAGCGTTCTCGTGACCTGCATCTCTTTCTGATTGGATGTTACTTGCGAACTGGTAGTCATTTTAACGCGACGTCTAGCGGATGTCAAAACAACACTTCCGGTTATGGTGCTGGATAGCATGACTCCAAAAACCGGAACAAACTTGAACAATATAGCCATGGTTATGTAGAAAGATTCCGAAAACGCTTCATTTCTTCCTAATTTTGTTGGATGAATTAAATAAACAAAACTTTCCGTTTTATTGGAGTAAATTTCTTTTGTTCGATAAATAAAGAGTAATGGCAAGCAAATTGTAAACGTAAAAATATAGACAAATGCAACAGCAATAATGGCATATTTCTTGGAAGAGTATTGCTTAATTTTCATTGGTTGAAGCACACAAAAGAGCCGCTCCAAGGAAATCAAAAGTGTGATTGTATTACCAATGCGTGCAGGAATAGCATTGAAGTACGTATCAAAGTAAGGAATAATTTGTATTCTCTGCTGAATAGTAAACGGAATTTGATAGTATGAAGACGCGGTAGAAAGAGAGTTCATGGCAGCCACAAGTAAAATTAAACTATCAGTAATAGCCAATGCGAAGAGCAAGACAACGGTTGACGTAATCGTTTTAAGCTTGTAAAACATTATGCAACATAGAGTATTTAACACCAGTCCAACGAGTACTAACACTGGAATAACCCCACAAAATATTAATGTCTTAATCATCTGCACGGTGTCTTTGGGTATAACATAATATCCGGATCCGGTATGTTTCGTTGTGTTCGACATCTGAGTCATCTGCGTCGTTTGTACGTTTGCATTCATCGTACAGCTAATATTCAAATGCGATTGATATTATTTCCAACACCGAATGTCCGAATATATATAAATATAACAAACTGATGATAAAACAAGAATGTTATTATTGTTGTTAATTTTCGTGACTAAAATTGTTATATCAATAAAAGAAATAGCAAGAATCAAGCGTATTTCCGGTTACAGCAAATCATATACGCCCGTAACCGACCCATGCAATATTTATAACAAAAGCTAGTCACATGACAATTTGTTAAATTAACGTAATTAGCAAAATAATTGAATTCAGTACGGGCTACATAAAGTACAAACTCTTTCCATATTATTATAATCACATGTATCATAGAACGAAATTCCAATAAGAACTCGTTAGTTCTGAGTACACTGCCAGATATTTTCTAGATGCCCTATAATTTTGACGATAAATAACAAAATTCAGAAATATATTCATTTTAATTTTCATAAAGTTTGTAATTGTTTGCTTTTATGAAATATTCTTCGATGATCTAATATACCTTTTATCTTTTGGCCGTTTGTAAATTTTGACACCGAGGTTACAATCTTTAATTTTACCAATCTATCAAAGACACAAAATTAAAATCTTTAGTGCGATTTTCTTATTCGTGAGCTTGCGAGCTTCAATTATAGCATAGACAAAGTCTTGCACTTAGATTCTGAGGTTCTTTTTATGCATGGTTCGCTGGTTAAAGAATTAATATATAATGGATTAAACAAATAGTTACTTTGAATAGTCTTACGTAAAATAACGTTTCATAAATTATAGAATATTGATTCATACAATATATAACATTATACATAGCAATATGAAGATGTGGCATGGTTGCAAATGAGACATCGATTTACACCGTAGGCCAACATGACGAGCTTGAGAATGTCATGAACTGTAGTAGTGAATTCACAAATAACCAAAGAAAATACCGCGAAGTAAACTATAAATAATGAAGACATGAACCAACGACAACTACTGAACTACAGACTCCTGACTTGGAACAGGCACATACATAATGTGGCGGGGTTAAAAATGTTTGTGAGCGTCCAACTTTTTCCTGGTTCAGTGGTGTAACAGCACACCAAAGAACAAACTTTACAAATCAGTTGAAAAAGGCTATACTCATCGGCTCGATAACATAAAACAAAAACACAGACAGGACTTGGCAGGGTATTTCTATCCATCACCCCTAACAACAAAAAAGACACTAAGTACAGATCTGAGAGTACTCGCAGTTACTTACAGCTAGAGTCGGTTCGAAAGGACATGATTGGTTCAAAACAGAACAGTAAATAATGAAAACAACAATTTATAAATATCATGCCCCCGAAACCCTTTTCTGGATTAAACTTCACCAGGAACGCTCAAAATCGTATATTTGAAAGCCCAAGTTTTATAACTGATGTTCTTGTTTGGTTTTTATTGAATAGAGAATAATGGGTATAAAATTATAATACATTTGAAAAAAAAGAATGGAGAACAATGGACCAAAAACAATAACAGTAGAGAACAATGGAGTGCACAATTATAAAGAATAGAGTATAATGGACCAAAAATATAAAGAATAGAGAAAAAAGGGCGAGTAAATTAAAGACTTTCCAGATAGAAATTAAGGACCCCCTTTCCAAGCATCATAACTTGCAGATCGACAAATGATACAAATAACCGATCTTGGTAGGTAATGACGTTGCTAACGTAAAGTGTTATCAAACTGTGACATACCGGGAAATGCGATTGTTTTCGACCGATTTTAAACATTAGCTTGAAAACGAGTATTAGAAAATAAACACCATTTTTTAAAATGATAATTAGTTTGATAATGTATGAAGATTATTTGTACCAATTATTATGGAAATTTTAAATCATGAAACTTTGATAAAAACGAATTATTTCCAAGGAATTGTGACACAAATTTAGAGTATACCTATGTAACGAAGATTCTCCAAATACTTTTACAAAAATCTGATTGTGTTTTTTTTAGAACACAAAAGTGTAGTATGTCTATCCAAAGGATAGAAATGTCCAAGAAACCGAAATTTGAGAAAATACATCAATTCAGACCCGGGTCCTTTTATCTCTATAAGTAGCACATGAAGGTACATTTTTTATTACATATTTGAATAGACTAGGTGATAAAACTTTTAAGCTTGTCTGCAAATTTTCGTAAATAAATCACCGTGGGATTTAAACTGTATTATATGACCCTAGTGCCAGTTTAAGCACTATTGGCTTTTTTTTGTTGTGGCGGTCAGTTTTTATTGATGAAGGAAGCCGGAGTGCCCGTAGAAAACCGCCGACCTACGGCTGGAACTGAAACTAAGAAACATTGAAATCGAACGCACTTGCCACGTGCGGGATTCGCACCTAAAGATCACTTTCCGTTACAAAGATATCGATATGAAAATACATTGCATATAATGGTTAAATTTTGCTGTGTATCTAGAGATAAACAAACCAATTGTTTGTTTCTACAATGTTATTATGCTCAGTATACGTAGGTATTTTCAAATTTGCGGCAAACTTTCTTAATTAAAGTAAGTGTGTGAAAAATTGCACAGACGTGTACAAGGAAAAGTATAACACACGATTCAAATGGTGATATGAATTTTAGATTTTCAATAATATATCCTCATTAACTGCGACTATCTCTTAATATTTTGGTACATGTAATTGACAAGACAAAATCGATAATTCACTTTTATGACATAAACTGACATTTTTCCTGAAAGAATTTAATTTTGGGGCAAATCATGACAAGATAGACAATATAAGAATTTTGCCGATTTTTACACGTTTGTCAATTTTAGAAATGTATTTCCAGAGTAGGTCTATTGGAACATATCCATGGCCATCTATGACACAGATACTCCATAATGGTCAACCTGAGCATCATGGCGTCCGTAGCACATTCAAATGAACGAAACTAACTTGCTATTAGAAACCACTGGTTCATTAGCTTCCTGTAAACAGCAATCGTCAACAAGAAAATTCATGATAGGATACGCAAACTCTGGAATATCGTATCAACTTGGAGCTATTTTTCCCGTATGTAGGCGGGCTATATGGCGTATCAAATATATCCATTAACTAGTTATCAATTCATTCCTACAGAATAAGGATGTACTTACATGTACTAGGTGAAATTAAAAAATCTAGAATTTAAAATTGATAATATAAGTCAGAAGAGCATACGTTAAGAAATCAAATAAGCTAAAAATATTGATAGGTTATGGAACTCCTTTTCAAGATATTTAATTTTAAAAATTGCGGGAAAAGCTGACTCGGACTTTCACCTTATATTTGCATTGTTATTATTTTGGTCTCAAATCGATAGAAAAGAAATCTAGAATCTGCTTAAATTTTGATAAATGACCTTTTATGAGCTATTGAAGTCTTATATGAAAAGAAAAATAGGTGTTACATGTATGGGGCAAAATATTTTACCCTGTATCGTAGGAAAAAAACAAGGAGTCCGAACATCTGACTAAAACTGACCTAAGTACATCCTTAAGTATCATTTTACCTGCATGTAAAGTTTCAAAAATAGTTCATTCATATTAAAAATTGATTGAAGTGGTTTAGATGATTTAGGAGTGTCTAATTTTCAATTTGGGCAACTGAAAATTACTTCAGTCAACAGTACCAGGGCTTTCTGTCATGCAGTCACATCTTCGAAGCAAAGAAGTTGAACGACCAGAGTGAATGCGCATGCTCCATATCAACCATTTCAAAAAGTAAAATTAGCCTATACCGGACGGTATTGTCAAACTTGTCAAATTACTGCCGGATACCAGTCATTTTAACATTGGTTGGCATTATAGTTGACAATGCAGGGGCGGATCCAGCCATTTTTAAAAATGGGGGTTCCAACCCAGGATAAAAGGGGGGAAGGGGGAGGAGAGGGGGGGGGGGGGGGTGGTTCCAACCATATGTCCCCATTCAAAAGCATTGTACGTCAATAAAAAAGATGGGTTCCAACCCCCGGAACCCCCCCTTTCATTCAACCCTATTCTTCCTTTCTTCCTAAATCTGTGCGTAGGTCCTCTACGAACATGTATTAAGAATAAGTAACACTATCTAACTATTTGTTTTGAATTCATACTTCCATGAAGTTAAACTAACACACTTATTAAGAAGGGTCTGAATAAGGTTTACAAAATAGAGATTAATGGGCCAAATCTATAGAATAGAGAATAACGGGACAACACTGCAGAAAAACAAGCCAAACAATAGAGAATAGAGAAAAAAGGCCGAAAAAATAAAGAATACAGAATAATGAGGTGATACAATATAAATGATAGAAAATACTGGGCAAAATTTATAAAGAATAGAGAAAAATGGCTTATAAAATTAAATAATACAGAATTCAAGGACCCCCTTTCAAACCCTCATGTAGTCATATATCTTCGCTCTAATTTACCATTTCAAGCTCTTGAGAATGACAATTAAATAGATATAACGAATGTGTAGATTAAAAAAAAATCTGTCTGTCTTACTTCTATACATATTATCATAAAAAACACTCTGAGAAATACCCTACATGTTTATTGCAACGTGAATAATATTTCCTATCTCTGATGTAAGAGTACGACACGAAATCATCAATGCTTAGGTAGTTAAGACAGGTTCTTATCTCTTGGGTTCACAACATATGGTCAAATCGAGGCGGTGTCAAAATTTGTTAAATTTGTAAAGATTATAATTTTCAGTTCACAGAGCCCCACTAAGCCATTTTGGAACAATGAAGTGCTTATTAGCGTTGCTGCCCTTTATCTGTCTGGCTTCAGCCTCAGAAAATCTGGTTGACTGTGCGAACGCAGCCAATTTAACAACATTTACCAGTTTTGTCAACTCAGCTGGATTAACCGATGTACTTCGGGAACAAGGTAATTAGTATTTGCATATTCAGTTTTAATTCATATTTTTTATTATAACATTTTTTAATCGCCATGTGTTTTCGCTGATAAGAAAGATACGTCGAAAAACATGGCGATCGCAGTTCTCTACTAGATTTCTCGACCGTTAAAGGTGGAGAAAATAAGCGAATAGGAGACGAATCAAAATCTAATTTCAATGTCTCGCCAGAAAAGCTCGACTCTTCGTTGAATGAGATTACAAAGATGAAAATTATATTTCCAGCTTTCATGATTAAAGCTCATTAGATTATCAATTCGGCTTTAAACTGAACAATGTATGAGCATGAAATACGAATATGCTATAATTTCTCATGGACTCTCTTATAGTAATCGCCTGTATCCGTCCGAATGATAAAGTTAGAATATCATTAAATCATTATAATTTTGTGTAATTTCTATTCTGTGAACAAATATTATCGATGTTAGACTTGAGTCGATTAGAGTTTGAAGTGTATTATAGAGATCTATAGACATCTGAATTTTTGTGTTTAAATATTCAATGTTGGCCTCTAGAGATTTGACTTGGTTTGCTTTGTTAGATATCTGTCTCACTGACATATACCAGGGATTTCCTTATAGTCATATCATCTGCATCTTTCGTCAGCCACATCGATTATCACCATACATTTACGACCCCCCATTTACCATGTTTACAGTAATATATTTGAAATTTAAAGCCACTGTTTCGGATCTTTACGATTCATGCTTGAAAGATAACCAGTTTTGATAAATTCTACAATTTTGTTTAACTGTAAGATACAAGTTATATAGGGAGCTAGGGGGGTGGGGTAGGATGAAAAATTATGTCCTGCATTTTTTTTAGCTGAAATCTCTGTCCTGCCTTTTTATTTTTAACTTAATCCGGCCCTGCCTTTTTTTTAATCAAACTGACTCCTGTCCTGCCTTTTTTCAAATTTCATCCTAGCCCTCCTATTAATATCAAATGGTAGCTCATTTACATTGTACGTGTACTTTTTTTTGTTGTTTTTGGTATTTTATACGATTAATGGGCATATCCTTGATCTCCTAAATTGGAGGTTTAATAAGAAGACATACAGATACATGCATATCATGAAAGAAATACACATCTACTGTTTCTTATAGGTCCATTTACTCTAATCGTTCCAACCAATGAAGCATTCGCTAAGCTTCCACCCGCAACAGTTGCATCCTTACAGAAGGATTCCAGTGCCCTCGCAAACGTTCTCCAGTACCATGTGGTGAAAGGAAGTATCTACAGTTGGGACATGGTTTCCGGTGAAATTCTTAGCAGTTTAAATGGCCACTACATCCGGGTCTATTCTCAAGGAAGTGTAAGTTTCAATATAAAATGAAAATTTAAACATATATAAAAAAAATAGCGCTTTTCAAATTAAAATTCTAATAAACATCAATAAAAGTGGTGTTCATTTGATAAAATGCATATATTTAATTGTATAACACTGCAGTATACATAGATATATGAACAATATTGCTTGGTTTTCTATCTTCTTTTTTCTTATTTTCTTTTATTCTCTCAATTGATTTTACTCCTGCCATATGTGACCAGATGTATTGATACTTTGATTAAATTTTAAGCAATAAATTTCCGTTGTAAATTCGCTAATATAAAAACCGTTTTACCTGCATAATACATTTACATAATATATAATGATTAAAACACTGATGGACAGTTTTTTTAAGCTGTCTTTTGTTCTAAGATAGTTGTTTCTTACTAAAAAAAGGGAGGCGAAAGATTCCAAAGGGACATTCGGACTCATAAGTCGAAAATGACAACGCCATGGCTAAGATAGAAAAAGACATATAACAGTACACAAAACACAATATTGAAGACTAAAGACTGAGCACGTAGAGGTGCTCCGGAAGGGCTGAACAGATCCTGTTATACATATGGCACCCGTCATGTTGCTCATTTAAATACAAGTACGCTGATAAATTTAATTCGGTAGGGAAAAGTGGAAGGGAATGTAGTAAAGGACTAAAAAGGGATGACAACAGATCTTTCGAAATCTTTCACAATGAATTGTGTAAAAAGTGCGCTGTATATTTAAATTGATACATTGTATTTGAAAATCATTGTCAATATTTGAAAATGTAATTAAGGGTGATCTTGATATTTAATTTCCTATATGAATATCTCTTTTGTAGTCTCTGTATTTCAACCAAGCTAAAGTAACAAAAGTAGATCTTCAATGCTCAAACGGAGTTATCTACCTTGTTGATGAAGTTCTAAATGTGCCAGAAGGAACTATTGTTGACGTCATAAAGAACCCGGATTATAACATCAGTGGATTTATGGAATTTCTAGAGGCAGCCAAATTGACTGATGTCTTCAATCGAACTAGTATGTAAAACATCTTCTATTTATTTTAAGAATTGAATGCTTCTTTTTTGTAAATTCATTGGGGTGTAAAAGCGTTGACCGAAGTACATTTTGTATGAAGCACGGAAACGCTTCATTCTAAAAATGTGCGCACAATCAACGCTTTTACAACCCTATTAAATTACTAAAAGAAGCATTCAATACTTATAATTACATTTCTTAGCTAGGATCATGATTTCAATCAAGTTTTTCTTTTATTTACCTGTGCACTTTATTGTGGGAACTCGTGTCATCATGAATATTGCATTTCATTTTGAAATTTTGAAATGAAGGTTAATTTCAGAATGACGCGAGATTGCAGTTAGCTAATCAAATAATAAAAATAACGTTATCATTATGAAACAAACATGCAATGTAATTATTAAAGGGAAACAATCAACTATAGTTTTTTTTTTTAACGCAAGTACAAAAACATGAAAATATACGAACGAATAAACACATGAAAACAAAAAAAAATCAACTTTTGTTTCAATCAGTTTCCAGTTTTCCAAAAGTAAAAACATCTTATAATGGAGAAACGTTTTTCGTCATATCATTGCGTTTTTTTTTCAGTACGACGGTGACCAGTATACAGAGGTATAGTCTCAAATCGGTTCTTCTGCCATTTATATGCTCCCTTCGGCAGCATATCAATGTTGTGTCGGGGAAATCAGCATCTGATTTTGATAATATAAGAGTTGTAATATCTGTCTTATCTTTAAGGTTCACAGAGATATACAATGTTTGTTCCATCTAATGCTGCTATCGCTAGTCTGGATGCTGATTATATCACAAAATTGAAAAGCAGCTACATTTATGCTAGACGTAAGTGAACCATTAATTGTACCTGTTACCTGTTACCTATTCTGTATATTCCACCTTTTCCAGATGAACCACTTCAGTTGGTAAATCCTCTTGAAGTGTAGAATCCCTTATCCTATATTTATTGCATATTCACATTCGTATTAAAGACTTCTTCTTTATACACTTATACACACCGCCACCACACTTATTTAAAAGTATTTAAACTGTATATACAGTCATATATTAAAATCTAAAACTTGATAGATGCATTAAATGTCATTTTGTCCATTATCTCACTTGTGCCTCTTTCCTCATCAATAGAATATATATACATGTATCCACAATGCACATTGACTGTAAAACTTGCTCATATCAGCAAATGTCTGTTTCTCCTTTCTTATACTTATGACTACTCGTAGGATGCACATTAAAGTCCTAAACCATGCTCTTAGTATACCCCTTTCAAGAGAACCTTCTTACATACTTATTAATACTTAAGGTATTTAAATCATTTATCACAGTTACATGTACTTATGACTTAGCGACAAATACATATTTAAAATCTAAAAAAAAAAAAAAAAAAAAAAAAAAAGTTTAAAATTTTCACCCATCATATAAGCTTTAATTATAACCACCTGACTGATTTGTTTGAAATATTAAAATCTACCATCATTGTACTTAAATGTTACTGTAGTTCCGAGATATTCCGTTTTACCGCGTCTGGTTTCTTTTTACTCACAACTGAAAGTCACGTGATACCGTCAAAAATGTTTAAAGCACTGTTGGGATTAATTAATACAACATCGTCTGCATAAACACACCAACAAATGGACGAGCCGCTCTACGAGAAGTTTTCATCAGAGCAAGCGGGTTCAATCAACAATGAATAGCGTGGTCTACTATTTCAAGGGCAAATTCCCAAACAAAATTTCCGTTATATCATGTATATTTAATTTCCAAAGATAATTGAATTAAAGACAATCAGTCGATTTTTGCTGTTATCTTTGGATTTGATATTTTTGACTCTTAGGCTAACCGTGTACAGTTTACTTGGTAATTTTTATTCCTGAAACAAGTCTAGCGAGAACTAAACTCGCTTTTTCACGGCTATTAGAACATACAATCTATCTGCAAAAAGCTATGCTGTAAATATGACCCTCTCCTTTCGGTTAGCACACAATGCCTTGTTTTGATTTTGACAAAACATTGGATTTTCGTGCCTGACGTTATAACTGAATTTGCAGCGTTAGTTGTATGTTAAACGACGCCGAAAATCAATATGGACAGTTCTGTGGGTTTGTCTAGGAATAGCAGGAATTTCAACGATAATATAATATATAAAAGTCGAGAAATATAAGGGTTGCTAGGCACACATGTTTTTTTTAACTATCTAGGAAAAATCTAGAGGAGTTCACATATTAAGGGAAAATGTAAAATCTGAGAAGCGTACCGTACCTTCTTAATTATATTTATTTTTATGTTGTATCGTCAGGATTCAACTGACGTCATTTTTTGTTTTAGATATTGTTGATTATCATGTTCACCCAGGAACAATTCACGAGAAGAGCTTAGACCATGCAGGAACACTGTCTACAATGTACAGGGGACATAGCATTAGTGTTACCGTTGATAGTAGTAAGATTTTGTTTTCTATAATTCAATCTGAGCACAGATGTACTAATTTTGACGATATTACCCTTGTAAAGAGTTGGTGACGGTGTTTTTATTAGTACTAAAAAGATGATTCTCTCTTAAAAGTTTTGAATTTAGTTATTTTTGCAGTAACTAAGACCATTGCAACTACCTAAAACGGCGAAGAGGTGGGAACAGTTCCCTTTGTATCTGTTTTAACATATGTGTCAAAAATCTGGGAAGATTTTAAAAGCCTAATTAGAGAGTCTGTATAATATCCTCACACAAATTATCAACAATTTTACTAATTTTTTTTACATAAAAATGGTTTTCAATGCTACATATTGCTGTGTTTGTAAAATATTTCTGGTTGGACGTCTCTTACAAAAATAGATTAATCTGTATTCGAATTATAATACTAAAATAATTGTACCACTCTTTTTAGGCTTTAATGTTCTTCAACTTCGTGCATTATTTGGCCTTTTGACTTTTTGATTCGAGCGTCACTGATGAATATTTTGAAGACTAAACGCACTTCTGGTGTACACAACCATAAGTCTGGTATCTTTGATGAGTTTTTTTTTCCAAATTAGTTTTGTTTTGTTAAAGGATGCTCTTTTAATACATTTATGGAATTAAAACTCAAAATTTTCTGAAATTTTTCATAAAAACTGCAATTTAGGCATTTATAAAGTGGTCAAATGTTTCAAAATACTCCAAACTATTGATAAAACCTAAATTTGCATACTTTTAGGAAATGTCCCTGTTGTTAAAAAAATTCAGAGGAAATTGGCCCAATCTCTTTGACATCTGGATGTCTTTACTTTAAGTCCGATTTTGATTGAATGGCTTACCATTCATCTTTCCCAACGTTCGACTCGGATTAGTTCTGCGGTTACTTCCGACATGCGCATCTGATCAGACGGACAATTTATTTCCACTGGAACGATTTCATATTGTTTATTAACTGTTATACATTTCCTTCCAATAAAACATGAACCATGGATCGATATATTCTCGACTTGTCCATTTCCATTGTTAGTACTTTAAGGATGAAGGTCATTCCAAACATGTGTATCTACAGAGATAAATAAGCGCATTTTCCAATGATATTTTGTGTAATTATTTTCCCCATTTTCATGATTTCGATAATTCATGTTTTTATTATTAACTTTATTTATTTTTAGATAATAACCCTGTCTTAAACCATGCAGCTACTCTCCAGGTAACCGATATCGAGGCTGAAAATGGCGTGGTTCACATCATTTCACACGTTTTGATTCCAAGCTCTCTAAATCCAGGCGTTGTTGGTTAAAAATCATAATCAATAAAATATTTGTATTTGTGATTGTGGATTTTTATTATATGTATAAACATGATTAAACCATCTAATTGAACACGTCAAGACAAATATATTAAAACAAACTTTTTTTTTTCTGTCATGCAAAAAATTCACGAGATTCTTTCATGAGAAATTCGTTTTATTTTCTATATTATTTATACACCAAGTCTTCGAGTGAGAGCTTTATTCATTATTGCAACCAGTCTGTCCGTCAGTTTGTTAGTCCGTCTGTCAGCTAGTTGGCTGTTTGTTAAAGAGAGTAATTTGTTGAAAATAAGAAAATAGTTCATGGCATATACATGATATAGTTGATCAATTAAATATAATCGAAAATTTGCGTGGTGTATGTATCCAAATATCTGTTTCTATAAGTTGAAGTACTATGTTTTTTTTTATTTCAGACATACATGACATAAACAATACATATTTACATGTACCATGTGATAACATTAACGACACCTGATTTCGACAATTAATGTTTCTTCGGTAATGCTCGACGACAACAAAGTCAAAAATCCAAAACATAGTACAAACGTTATAAGAATATAAGAATATAAATATATATATACACACCTTGTAATTATCATTTGTATTTACTTACTATAAATTTCAATGGTTCAACACTATTAAACAGAATTTTATATGTAATAATTATATTCACGGAGGTAATAAAAAAAACTACCCGCGTAGACAATTATGTTAGACCTAAACTGGTTATTCTTCTTTGGTTATTCACGATTACATGTATCCTGTTGATAATTTGTTTTAGTAAATACAGTAAAAATTTTACTGAGAGCACCGTTCACTTTTGAATAAAAAAATGGATGCTTAGATGAGTAGTTTTATTTTTAGAAGAATGTTGTGTTAAGCATTAACAATTCCGTATTGACATGTATTCCATTCCGGATAAGTTTTAAAATTTTATGACGTTACAAACCAGTTAAAGCTTACTTACGTTCTGTTTCAACAAATGCATTATGGATACATTTTTTTCAAACAGACATACGATACCACTGTTAACATTTTAAACAAAGCATTTTCATGTCTCGTTATTGTCTTTAATTTTTTTTTTTTTTCGTAAACTTACATTATTTCAAAACGTTCCATGTTCTAAACTATACTCTCAGCTAATTACTGATGAACTTTGTTTTGAATACTCTTGATCCGAGTACTGAGCAACGGAAATGTTTCTGAGTAACTGATGGTCTAAGGATGAAGATGTGAATCAATTATGAAAGATTTTGGATGAGAAAATTAAAATCGTTGGCTCCAAATGGGATTTACAAAAAAAGTGTTACTGTAATTCAAATCGTCCATGCAGTGCCAATCACATCAGCTGGATGTGTTAATTCATTTTGTATGCAAACATACACAGCCTTGTCTATTGTGAATATGTCATTTGCATTAACTTTGAGACTTCAGAATTTTACAAGTGCTGTTCGGTTTTGAATTTGTTTCAAATTCATGATTTCGTTGGGAAAATCAGTCACTCGGCAATCCTCGGCTGAATCCGCTACTCTCCTTCTTCCGGAATCGGCCGAGTTGTGACGAATTCAAAATCGGTATAAATGAAAGACTGAATGTTATTTAATTGTTCTTATAAGAATTTGGTTTTAAATGACAGATCTTTGAATGTAATTGAATATCGACCTTAAATGCTTTTTGACTATCATTGAAACCGTTTGAAATTTGATCATTGTTAAAGCATCTTATATTAAATCACGTTGACTTCTAATTTTCTATTGATATTTTGTGCCATAAGGCTCCTGTCTCACTTCTTATACCCAACCTCCTTTTATTCATAATAATAATTTATATGTTTTAATGATATTTGGTCTTTTAACAATGTTTAATTTGGTGTTAATGTTTAATTTTATATCGATCTTAAATGGTTTATGCTTTTCCTGATACCGCATCTTATGTTAAATAATTAAGACCTCTTAATTTCTTTTGTTTTTGTTTTTGTTGTTGTTAGACTGCTGTCTCATTTTTGTATTCTCAAACTCCTTTTGTTTATACTAATAGGCTGTATATATTAATGATATTTCTTTTTTTTTTAGAATTTGGTGTTAATGACAGACCTTTGAGTTTCAGTTAATCTCGACATAGAATGGTTTTTGACTATCCTTGATACCGTTTTATTTACAACTACTTGGCCGATGCCACTGATGGTGTAGTTTTATTCCCCTAGGGTATCACCAGCCCAGTAGTCAGCACTTCTCTGTTGACATGAATTATCATTGATATGGTCATAATTATAAAATAACTGTTTACAAATTTTGAATTTTTGAAATACTAACTAAAGGCTTTACTACCTGAGGAAAAGATTACCTTAGCTGTATTTGGCAAAACTTTTAGGAATGTTTGGTCCTCAATGCTCTTCAACTTCGTTCTGTATGTGGCCTTCTAACTTTTGTTGATTCGAGCGTCACTGATTAGACGAGACGCGCGTCTGGCGAAAGTACAAAATTTCAATCCTGGTTTATTTGCTATTAAAGAATCTTAGATTAAATTACGTTGAACTCTAGATTTCTATTATTTTTTTGTGTGTCGTTAGGTGGCTGTCTCATTTACGTATAACCAAAATTCTTTCATTCATGCTTCCACTCATTTACAAAACCAATATAATATTTGCAGCATGTTTTCTCTTTTCTACCTCAGGAATAGATTACCAATGCGGCTGAATTTGGCAAAACTTTTAGGAATTTTTGGTCCTCAATGCTCTTCAGTTTCGTACTTTATTTGGCCTTTTTTATACATTGTTTTATTCGAGCGTTACTGATGAGTCTTTTGTAGACAAAACGCGCGTCTGGCGCAAATATAAAATTTAAATCCTGGTATCCTGATGAATTTATTTATGTAAAATTTCTATATTACCTTGTGTTTCGTGCAAAATGTTTGTATAATGAGCAATTTATATGAACACGATGAATGGACCTCTTGGACATTAAATACAAATTCATCATCATCATCATCATCATCATCATCATCATCATCATCATCATCATCATCATCATCATCATCATCATCATCATCATTAACAGCTTCAGCTATATTGATTATACGATATATTTTTTCTTTCTGAATTTTGATAGCTCATCAATATAAATCATAACTTAAGATGACATTACTACATAATAAAAACTATAACTTTCCTGTAAAACAAAAGTACAAGTATTAGGATCCATAATGGAAAGGCGTTGTTTTGTAAAAAAAGACACCACGAGCTCGTTAAGCAAATGGCAACTTTTCTTATGAAGTAGTTTTTTTTCCAATTTTATGTTGAAGTCTAATATCTCAACATCTAAAACAGAAGATGTGGTATGATTGCCAATGAGACAACTCTCCATAAGAGACCAAATGACACAAAAATATACAACTATAGTTCACCGTACGGCCTTCAACAATGAGCAAAGCCCATACCGCATAGTCAGCTATAAAAGGGCCCGAAATAACAAATGTAAAACAATTCAAACGAGAAAACGAACGGCTTAATCTATGTACAAAAAAATGAACAAAAAACAAATATGTGGCGGGGTTAAACATGTCTATTATACAATATTAAAATAAAGATAATGTTACATAAAATGAGAGTCATTCAATACATTATCATAAGATACTACTTAAGAATAAAACATTAAAAGAATTTTGCGCTAAAAGTAGATGTGATTATACTAGTTGACAATAATGCGTTTTGTTAAAGTATGCTTTGATACTATAGCTGTCCTTGAATTTTTACTAGATAACTTTTTTGTTCGCTTTGGAGATTCCGTATATCGTCAAGTTATCGGAATTCAAATGGGGACTAACTGTGCACCATTTATTGTGGACCTGTTTCTGTATTGTAATGAGTTACAATTTATGACTAAAATCAGCAAAGACCCATCGAAACAACATCTGATTAAAAAATTTAACAATAATTTTAGATATTTGGATGATACATTGGCTCTCAATAATGACGACTTCAGTATGTATACTTAAGAAATTTATCCTGTTGAACTAACTTTAAATAAAGCTAATACTAACAATGAACACTGCCCTTTCTTCGATCTTGAGATCTATATCATTAACGGGAAGCTTTATATCAAAATTTATGATAAAAGAGATGATTTTTCATTTCCTATCGATAATTTTTTTAGATTGTGACGTTCCCTTGTCACCATCTTATGGTGTTTATGTATCTCAACTTGTACGATTCGCTCGTGTATGTAAAAACATATTAGATTTAAGCGAGAGAAATTCATGTTTTACTGAAAAATTATTACACCAGGGTTTTCGATATCACAAACTAGTCAAAACAATTCCACAAAAGTGTACTAAATTTTATCATCGGTACAAAGACATCATTCGTAAATATAATTCAACATGCAGACATCTTATACGTTCAAGTATTTCACATCCAATCTTTTATGGTAATATTCTTTACAAAGCACAAACATATCAGCATTCACCGCAAAAGCTAACAAAACCTTTAAACAGACTTATTAAGAAGAGATATAGTTACGAGACTGTTGTTTGCTCATAAAAAGATTGCATATTTTGGCTTTAATAATGATTCACTTATAGGGTCTTTGCATCGGAATTAAACACATTTATTCCAAAATTATTGTTGGCATGATACAGGTTATGTTCTTCTCATATATTATATGATGATATAATACTAAACCCCTAACGGGAGGGATTGTGCTTGATATTCATATGATGAAGACATAATCTTTCAATCAGTTTAATTTTTGAAATCATCTAGTTCCATGGAGTCTTAATTCTCTCATTTATTTAAAAATTCTTTAGTCTGACAAGATTTGCTAAATATTTGATGAAGGAAAGATAAATAACGGATAATAGACATCGATGTGAATCGAAATAGTTATTGTTAGGATAAGTATAATTTTACAGCTTAAAAGTGGAGAAAACAGTATATTTCATCCACCTTTTTAATGTAAATGTGTAGGCTGGTAACAACCACTGCTCCAAGTGTGAATACCATTCTTTCAATATCATTATGT